ACCATTTCCCGTCCTTGGGCCACTGACAATACTCCTCCTGATTGTAACTGTATATTCTTCATAGCCTTACGTTGTTTTTGGATCCGCTCCGCCATTTTGTTCGTCCCAAGTCCCTTTAGTCTGCACGAGCTCAGTCGCCAGAGATAGCGATCCTCGAATAAATCGACTGAGATCGTGAGAAAGTCGGGATCCAGGCTTTTATCGTCTTCAAGGACGAGATCTAATTTGTCCGCTACCTTGTTTATTTGTCGTAGAGTCAATGGTGTCTCGAAAGGTGAGGAGTGTGGTCCTGAATTGGGAGGAGGTGTGGGTGTCGTGGCTTGACGAGCTTCCAAACATTGAAGTACTACTTGTGGATTGAATGGGAAGATTCCTGTCTTGCGAAATGCGGAGCGTATAGTACTCTCCTTGAAAGCATGCAATCGTACTTGTTGAATGCAGGAGAGAAACTCAAGCTTGGTTATGTTGACGAGGCCATCTCGAACCATGACATCTAAAGCCTTGGCGTGATAGTGCTTTAGGGGCTGGAAAACGACAACGTCCAAAGGCTGAAGTGCATGCGTGAGATTAGGCGGCATGCCGAAGGGAATAATATTGTGGTTGTCGCAGTATTCAATGAACTGCCTGGTATGGTGAGAGCCATGACCATCAAGAATTAGAAGTCGCTTCGAGCTTCTTGAGCTTTTTTCCGAGTGCTTGTCAAAATGCTGGAGCCACTCCAGACTAATCACGTCGTTTGAGTAACCAGTAGGCGTGGGTCGAATAACTGTGTCAGGATCTAGCTCAGGTATTTGATACCATGAAGCCATGTGCATCTGGCCAGCGAGTATCAAAAGCCGGAACAACCTCCCCATTCGCCGAGATAGCTTCGATCGCAGTAGCGGATTCCTATTCTCAGGAATGCCAAAATAATGAGCTCTCCTCCGTTTTGTCACAATCAGCTGGTCTTTTCCAACCCCGATGCGAAAACCAGTCTCGTCCATATTCCAGATATCCTCAGGAGGTATACCATTGTCTTGGATAACCTGCCGAAGATGCTGGAAATACTGGTTAACTCGTGTAAGATTCTCGGAGACTTGGCGCTCTGCTTGAAGCCTTTTGGCGCTTTTGAAGTAGCCGTGACGCTTTAAGAAGCGAGAAGTCCAGTTTGGCCCCACGGTAGGAGCGTCGCGCTGGCTAGACTGCTCGCGCAAGATACAGTTTGCCGCGTCAGTAACGAACTCGACGCGTACCGCAAGGTTTATATTATCCAAACGATCGATATAGCGACATAGGGCCTTCTCTTCTGGTTCGGAAAGCCTCGTATTTCTAGCTCGCTGGCCAGTTTTAGGAGGTCGGCCTTGAAGACGGTATCGCAATCGATCACGTGTTACACCGAATTCTCGCGCTACGGTTGCGACTTTAGCACCGGAAAATTTTCAATATATCGAAGAGCGTTTTGTACACGTGCTTCCATTTCGGCTATCGACGAGATCGTGAATTGGTTAAGATATAGGGATGCTGAAGTCGGGGAGTCGAAATTCTGGGTATTCCGGTGGTGTGGGGATACTGGTGGTGAGCACCAACTTTAGGAGGTGGGAGCTTGCGAATTCCAAATAAAGTGGGGCGTGGCACGGGTAAGGGAAAACATAGTTTAAAGAATATAACTAGATTAAGTAGCGATAGTCTTTTCTATCTAAGTCTAGAGCTTATATCGATCTGCTATAAGAGCTATAGCCAATAATAATAGGCGAGTTTTGCGTATTAAATAAGATAAAATGAGGTGATAGAGGCTCGCCTACTGGCCTCGAGCGCAGCGATGGCGATAACCATATCCCGGAGCGACGGGCACGCTTGCAGTAGAAGCATCCGATCTATGGTGATGCCAAGCTGCTAGGTAAGCTGGCAGGTATCTCGCATAGATAAAGCAAAGTAATCCAAATAGAGTGCGTTACTGTGTCTGGTCAAATGCAAGGGTACCGGCGATGTGTGTGGCATAGTTGAGGAGGGTCCTTATAGCGATGAGCTCGACATCTGTCTCTGGCGCTGGGGGCGACAAGCCCTATGAGTCCAGGCGCAATACTCGCATAGGAAGCCTCCTTGGCACTGCATCTCGCATCAGAGCATCGAATCGGCTACCGTGGATGCATAGCCAAAAGGAACGAAGCCTAGACCTTGATGCGTCTTTCGGCACAGGGCTGACGGCGAGTCCCCTTCTTGCACTTGTCAAGAAGGCCCTTTCATCGATTCTTCTCAGATGAGGCGCGGGAACGAAGCAGCCGCTGCAACATTCTGGAAACAAGGCGGCTGCACATGCGGCACACAATACTTCGTAGGGTCGAAGGATAATGGTATTGTTTGTTCCCGGCCCGTTCTGATGCAGACTCCAGTGGAGTGAATGAAAGCGGAATCGTGTAGCGCGGCCTTGCGGTACGTTTTGTAAACCCATTGTAGGCTTGCACTTAAGTTATTTTAGTACTGTTTCCAGTAAGAACAGACATGATTTAAGCATTTCATCCACAGAGGGAAAGGGAAAGGCTCCCGGCAATGGTCGGCAGGATGTCTTGGCTGGAGGCTTCTGCCGCCGCCAAGCGACGGCTTCTACTGTACGCCAAACGATCGGGAAGGTTTGCCAGGACAAGCGTGCATTTTGCAGCGCATGTCATCCTTTGAGGCGTACTTTGTATTCGTAGATCAAGACGAGCGTGGACGCTTGAGATGGCTACCACTCCGCTCCGGTCCTTGGAATCGGCTTTGTCCTCGGCCAAATGTCCCTCCAAATCTACTGCTGGGCGAGCACAGAAAGACAAGCATGTGAAAGTTGGAGCAAGCACCATGCGTGGCCTCGGCACGAGAGCGCACCTGGTGGTCTCTTGACAGCGTGCGTGTGCACCCCCGGCATCGCCAGCCGTGGCGGAGTAGGCGTTGGTGATGCCATCACCCTTTACCGTGTGCCGTCCGGAGTGCGGCCCGGGACCGAAGCCGTGTGACCGCTTACTTGACTTGAGTGCCGTGCTGCGTGCTTCGTAAAGTAGAGTAGGCATGCCAGGGTCCGGCCTGAAGCGGCCTGAAGCCGTGGGGGAAGCGGGATTAAGTGCTGGCCCTAAACTGAGGAATGCCCGTATAGCAGATGGTTATTATAAAGCGCAACACGAGGCCATGGCATCGAGCGCACGGAAGCTGGAGGGAGGGGGGGAGTCACCCGCGACCCAACACGTGCCGTCCCAAGCACATTGATAGCCGATGGGTGTCAGTATTGCTTGTGTCACAGCCTCGGTGGGACTCGAAGGCCAATCTACCGCTCGCTGACCGTGGTCTGACCGGTGTCTGACCGACCATTTGAGAGCGGGAAACATTACTCTTTTCTTAACTCCCAAAGCCCTTTGAGACATCCACCCCCCCATAGATCCTCTATTTCGATCTCGGCGGCAAACAAGCAACTCACGTCACGGTTGAGGCCCATTCACGCGAGGCTTGTGGGCATGTGACGGGGGTTGGCAGCAAGCGCCCGCCTGCCCGCGTCTCACCTTACTTGAAGCGTGTGGAGAGGCCCAAAGGGTCACCGTCACCTGATGGACGGGCGGGTGAACCACAGCCCTCAGCTCCTGTCCCAGACATTGGACCTTGCTGATGAACCACCACCGGAAAGACGCCGTCCCTATGTACATGTATCCTCTCCAGGGGGGCGGAAAGGGGGCGGAAAGGGGACCCTGCCACGCGCTACCCATCGGATCAATGCTCTCGGCCTGCCCATGGCTTGCCCTGCAATCGAGTCTTGGTGGAAAGTAATTAGAGAAAGGGCCCATGCGGATCCGCGTGGAGAACCATGGAGACATGGAAGCGCAGAATAGCACGCACGCACGCACACAGACACACAAAGGCATGCCACCAACAAACGAGGGGAGACCAGGCCTGTTTTGGCCTCGCACAACGCAGATCCAGCGACATCGGATGCACCCCCCCAGGCAAGACGTTCGACGTCCAACTCATGCGAATGGCGCCGCATGACCTTGTGCACCCTCCTCAGTCTGGCAGTCTTGTCTCTGTCTCTGTTCTACATTGGTACCGCCTGTGTCCCTGGATCCCGACTGGTTCGTCTCTCCCCGTTCATTGAAAAGGGGGCACCTCTCGTCTGTTGACCTCCTCGAATGGTCCCCTGTTCCTCCCTTTTCTCTCGCACTCTCTCGCACTCTCTCGCACCCAAGTCATAGACGGGCTTGCGCAACAGGGGCTATTCACACACATTTGCGTGGCCCTGCATCACACCCCCTTACATGCCCAGAGCCCACACCTTGGTCACCACCGCCAACCCCCCCCAACCATCTATCCATCTATTCGACGACAGTCCCCACAACAGAGCAGTGCCAACTCAACTCACATACGTACAACAAACCAACCCGCAGCATTCTTGTCCTCTCCCTCCTTCGGCACTGCACCAGAAAGCCCGCATCCTAACCGCGCGCCCCGTTCCTAGCTTCGACTGGATCGGCTCAGACACCCCTAACCCACTGCAGACAACAGGGGTCCATCTCTCACCGCCGACTAGCCCCCAAGACACGGACCCCTGCCTGGCCTCTCTGTTCTGTGGTCTTGTTCGAACTCCGCCTGCGGACCGTTTCGGCTCGTCTTGGCTCTTGGAGCACCGAAAAGTCTCTCATCCTTCTCTCTATCCGTATCCTCTCTCCTCTTGGCCCTGCTGCAGACCGCAACTCTTGAGCACGCGCCGCGGCGGGGGGGGGGAGGAAAGCTTGTTCACTGGCCCTTTTTTGTGACACATAAAACAAGAACAACCCCCCCCCCCCCGAGTCGCTTTCCTCTATATACGGGCCTTGGCCCCATAATCATTCATTGATCCTTATTTCTAGCTCCCGCCCCGCCCCCTCCTTTCCCCGAGATTCATCCCGTCCCATCGTATCCATCTAATCTTCTCTGGGCGGCGTCTGTATGGCTCTCCCCCCCCCTCACCTCCTTTCCATGTGCTCTGCATCGTCGTCCCTGTCCGCTTCTTCCGCCTGCCCGGCATGGACCAGAGCTTTCGCTTCGCCGCCTCGGCGGACACGACATACCACAGCTTCAACGACATTGAGCTGCTGGAACCGCCCTCAGTGCCCTCACCACCAGACAGCAGGGGCTCCTCTTCCTCCTTCTCGCCGGCGAGTCTGGCGGACCACCATGGCGGCACGCCACAGCAGGTCACGGAGCGAGGGGGAAAACTGCCCTTGATGCCCACTGCGGCCAAGATGCAGAGGCAGGACTCGGGCTACGAATCTTATGGAGCTACTCCGCGCCCCTCCGTCTCCCAAGTCCGCCCGCCCGCCCCAGCTAGGCCGATGTCCAACACATCCTCAGCTGGCATGGGCTCTCCGTCCCGTCTTCGCACCCGGCCGTCAACACGCCGTTCCGCCAAGTCTTTTCCGCAGCCCTCCTGCCCACCGTCTCTGCTGTACCACACTCCTCGGCCCCACGCGTCCAGACCCCCGTCGGCGGCCTATTTCCAGTTTCCTTCACCTGACCTCCTCGAGCTCACCGAGACATCGTCTACTTCGCATCGCCATCAAGAGCATGCGCCTGCGACTTACCAGCCGCCACAGACGACCCACTATTGGACCAGCGACCGCACCCGCCGACTCGAGTACGCCGCCATCGACGCCGCCGGTCGAGGCGTCAAGGGCTGGGTCCGCAGGAACCTCGTTCCGGGGTGCTTCGGCCCTCGGCACGTTGCCTTCGATGACGATACCGGGAGCGTGCGGCGCTACCGGTTGGAGCTCGAAGACGATCACGACGAGAAGTCTCCGGGTCCCAGCCCCGGGAGGCGGCGTAAGGGCTGGCAATTTTGGCCGTTGCTCCGCAGGAGCAAGACCCTTTGAACCTCACTCTTCGCCCGTCCATTCTGGCGGCATAAACGGGCGCTTCTGGTGTCCTCGCCTCGAAAATCGAGGGGCACTTCTCATTTCAATTTTGTTTTCTTGCGTTAGGGAGCATGGAAAGTAGGTACATCATCGCTTGGCGTCGTATAATACCCATTTTTGTCGGTTATGGGTGGGATGAGTTGCATACGCAACGAGCACAGTCAAGGTCAGAAACGACCTCAGAAGCGGAGCTGCACGCGATAGATGGCGGGCGTGAACTCGCCGCGCACCGTCATGGTACGGGAAAGCGGTGAATCGGGATTCTACTGAATGCATCGTTCCTAGTGGTAGGGAGACGGGAATCGTTGAATGCAACATGGGTGGGAACGGGAGTTAACGTCTTTTCAGGAGAGGACCACTTATTGCTGTTTGTCTTTCCTGATTGCAATCAAACAAGTTGTTCCGAACATGAAGTTCCGAAGCCAATGACGTGACTATCTAAACAGCCACTGCATCAAGCCCGTCACCGCTCCTCTGCCGTCCGGACCCCTGTGCAGTAATTACCCGCTCCACCCACGCTTTGATGCCGGTGGAGACATGAGCTTCCATTGCCAAAGCCACAAGATTCCAACATGGGCATTCTTCCCATCCCTGTTTCTTCGAGTGTGTCGTTGTCTTCCTCTCCTCTCTGCCTCTCAGATATCCGGCGCCGTAGCTCATTGGTTCCGTCCCGACCGGCGCCGAAAGACCCCACCGCCCTGTCCCGGCGAGCGGGGCCGCCTGCGCCGGAGCACCCCTGTCTACATCTATCGACCAAGACCCTGCTAGTATGCGTCTGGTGCCGAGGGGCGGCCCGGCTATGGGCGCCCACCATTATTGCCCGGTAGCCTCGAGGAGCAGAAATCAAGATTCATGTCGAAAGTCCGGCCGTGTGGCTTGACGACTTGTACGTGTACGTTGATCGACAGATGGGCACGTGGAAACCCCGGCGTACAGCAGAACGGCGACTGGACGCGTGCCGCTTGTTACATCTACCGAGCAAAGGAACTCTGCGTTGATTAGAGGAGAAACAAAGGTCCGGGTGCTCGCATGATGCAACTTGCTTCCGCTCTTGGCTGGCAAGCGAGAATGGAGCACAGCAGCTTACGAGACAAACGCTGGAGTTCGTCGCATCCACATCCAACATGACGGCTGACGAAAATTACATACACGGCGATACACATCGGAAATTTCGTACAGAGTATTTGTAGTGGCTAGGTAGCCAATCGAAAAGGGAACCGACGAGCTACACGGCCCTCGCCCGGATCTTGACGTTGAAATCAATGGGTCGAACGTTGAACCAGCCGTCCTGCTCCAGCTTGTAATCCGCATCGACCATGGCAAAGTCGACCTCGCGCAGCATCTTGGTCAAGACGATCATGGTCCACTGCCAGGCGTAATGCTTGCCGATGCACTCGCGCTTGCCGTTGCCGAACCACTTCTTGGCCCCGGCCGGCAGCCGCTCAAACTCGTCGCCCATCATGCGCTCGGGCCGGAAGGCCAGCGGCTCCTCGAAGACGGCCGGGTCCCGGTTGACGCCGGCCATGACGATGATCATGGCCTGGTTGTGCGCGACCTGGTACTTGCCGCCGCCCAGGAGCACGGGGCTCTTATTCCTGCTGCCGGGCCCGCCGCTCGGGATGGGCTCGATGTTGAAGCCTGGCGCGGCAAACGATAGCCGCAGCCCCTCGCGCACGATGGCCTCGATGTACTTGAGCTGCGCCAGGTGGGCATGCGACAGGTCGCCTTCCGCGCCGACGACCACGTCGATTTCCTTGCGCGCCTTCACAATCGCGTCCGGGTTCTTGAGCAGCAGAAAGATGATCGTGGCGAGCAGGCAAGGCGCGGTGCTGCTCCCGATGGGCATCGACACCACCTCGTCAAGCACCTGCGACTCGGTCAGGCTCTCGCCCGTCTCGGGATCCTTGGCGCTCATGAGGGCCGAGAGCAGGTCCTGGCGATCCGACGGGTGCTCCTTGCGGTACTGGACCAAGTCGGCGGCGTACTCCCGCATCGCCTTGATGGCCAAGTTGAACTTGCCCCGGTACAGCAGCCAGTTGAGGATGCCGGGTCGCGTGGGGCGCTGCATGGCCTCGCCCGTCGAGTCCTCCATGGCCTTGATCATGGGGTGATGCGGCCCGCTCAGGCAGTTGAGTTTCCGGCCGTACAGCGTCAAGGTCAAGGTCTCGAGGTCCAGCTTGGCGAGGTCGCGCCACGGGCAGACGGGTTCGGTCGACGCCTTCCACAGCTCAATGAGTTCCGAGGCCGTGTCGCGCATCTGCTCGAAGTTGTCCGCCAGGGCATCGGGCTGCAGATAGGGCGCGATGATGCGATGTGCGATGCCCCAGCTCGCCTCGTGGTCGTAGGCCGTGAACAGGGCATCGTGAACGGCCGCTCGGATCTCTACCACGGGGCCTCCAACATATTTCCGGAACCGCTTCTCGTCGCAAATCTCCTCTGCCAGTGCGACGCTGGCCACGAAGACGATGGTCTTGCCCAGGATCTTGATCTGAAAGATTTCGCCGTGCTCCTCCGCCAACTTCTTGAGCGAGGCCCACGGATTGCCAGGTTTGACGTCGAAGATGTTGCCGAGGATGGGCACGCCAGAGGGCCGTGGGATGGGTTGCGACATGGTGACTTTTTTTATTCGCTTCTTCACAGTAGCGCTTAGCAACTCGAGGGGACGGGTTCAGCTTGTGCAGAGAAGCCGGGTGCAAGCCGGTTCATATGGACGGATGGGCAGCTGAGGAGAGGGGGACCGGGGGGTCATGCAGACTGGAACTCGCATCTGTGTATGCAGCCGTGGATCCAATTGAGAAGCGAGCGACGTCTCTTTGTCGACAAAGTATTCCCAACTGAAACCCGTGTCTGCCAGCAAATTTGTTTGTTGGGGACATTTGACGCTGAGGTTCGGCCAACCCGTTGCTTGACTGTCGGCGGCGAGGTGCATGCCTTGCGCCAAGGCTCTTCATCTTCTGGACGTTAACAGGTGGTTTATCTCGCTTGACAACGCAAGAAGCCAGCCGCAGAGCACGAAGGCTTGGTAGATACTTGGCAAGCACAGGTTGGAAACATCACAACATCGGGTCACTGTCAGGTCTGCATTAGCGCGCTGCCGTCGACGGCGACAATTGCCCATTGCCGAGGGCCAATGACGCTGGCGTCGCATTGCAAAAGGCACGCCTTTGATTGGCAGCGTCCATGCTAGCCGGGGTACTTTGTCCCGTACGCGGCATCAATGCGAGGCAGCGAGACTGCACGAACCGTGAGGGCTCACACTCCCAGTCTGCTTCTGTGTGCTGGCCGAACACTGTCGACGCACAGAGAGTGTACGGTACTGCAGCTGGCTGAAGCCGACAATGGATGTCAACCCCGCGAGCTTGGACGGTGAAAGTCTCATCTGTGTCATTGCTCACCCCGTCTGTTCGCTGGGTCCAGCAGGGGGGAAAAGCAAGCTGCCAATCTGCCACCTCCAGCTCGCCGGATGTCGGTAGATCTTTACTCTCCTCGGGGAACAATGGACTCGAGTCACTGCAGGGTACTCTTCAGTTGCCACGGAGACTGATCTCGCCTCGATGCTTCTGAATTCGACAAATGAGAAGACGAGATTGTCGGCATCCTCTCTCGATGCGCCATCTTTCCTTTTGCCCAGCCGGAAAGCGTACTTCGATGGCGTTTGCGATGCCCCATTGCCGGGCTCTCAGTTGCAGTCGGATCGGCAAAAGATGAGGTACAGTGCAGTACATGTGCAGGAGGCCGTTAAATCGGCGCCACGTCGCACTGAGGCACTCAATGCAAGCCCGTCGAGGGTGCCGAGGATGATGAAGCAGCCAGCTTGTCAAATCAGGTGTCAATCAGGTGGCCCCTCAAAGCTCACCCCAGCTTAGTCACCACCTTTCGATTTCGCGCCCAGCGTCAACGCGCCAGTAAATCAATCCCACGTCTCGCCGGCAAAACCAAGCATCACCACCACCAGCTCAACGCTGCATCGCCGCCACGGCCGTCGCTCATTTCCCGCATCGCCAATTCGACCTGCCAGACAATTCTGCTGCCTCCTCGAGCGCCTCCGCAGACCCGCTCATCATGACGCGCGCGCAACAGACCATCTCCCTCGGCCTCCTCGTTTCTTCCGTATGCCCCCACTCTCTCTCTGCCTCTCTGACTACTCCCAAGTTGCGCCTCGACGCTGACGACTGGTTTGCGCCGCAGCTCTACCTCGCCCTGTACCTCGAGTTGATCCCTCTGCCGCCCCTGGTCCAGCAGCAGATTGTCCCCGTGGTACGCGCCCAATGCCACCCGCCTGCCTCCAGACCGCGATGTGGACTGACTGGCTGCTTGCCTTCGATAGCTTCCCTTCTGGGCTCTCGTCTCGTTCGGCGCAATCCTTCTCTTCCGTCTCGGCCTGGGCATTTTGACCTTCAACGACGTTCCCGCAGCGCACAAGGAGCTGATGGCGGAAATCGACATGGCGAAGGTCGACTTGAGGAAGCTCGGGGTCGACGTCGACTGAAAGCTGCGACGATGCAGTGCAGCTGGGCATGGACGATTCGAGCACTGGTTCGAATGTAGAAGACCAAGGAGTGGAATTCAAGAAGCCACCCGTTTGGGCTCGCCATTATGATTACCAACAAGGCTACGTGTGGCGCGGCCATGATTTCTCGTTGCAGTCTCATTCCACATGTCTCGCCACCAGCTTTCAAGGGACCTGGACTCCTGCCAGCAGCGCCGCTACAGTCCGTACAGCCTCTTCCGGTTCCTGCCCACCTCTGACAAGGTCATCAAACAAGGTGGGAAGCCTGCCAAAGACGCCTCGTCCATCTGCCTCGCGCCCTGGGAGCCCCGTCAGCAACGAGCGCGTGATCCGTTTCGTCAAGACATGTCGTAAACTCACATTTGCCTGGGAGTCCAACTAATACAGCAACCTTGCTCTGTGCCTCACCCGTCCAGTCGAAGTCAATCTTCCACTCCAGGCGCAGCGAGGACGTGTCGTCCAGACCAGCCCCAGCAGGCACCTCAATCTCAAAAGACCGCTGGCCCAGGAAACGTATCAGATCGGCCCTGTTGCAAGCTCTTTGCTTCTTTGCATCGTCGTCGAACTCGGCGCTGCCCTCGCGCTGCCGCTGCCGCCGTGCCTCCCACGCCTCGGCAACTGATTCTAGTAATCTCTTTCTTGACCCCAAGCTCCGGTCCAATCGAGACCAAAACTGTGCTCTGAGCGTTGCGACTCGATACCATTCGCCCATTGCCCATGACAGAATCCCGACATTTCGCTGCATGGTTCTGTTGCAGCTTCCGGAGCAAACCTTGTCCGCAAAGGGTTCTAGCTCGTACTTGGCAGATGGTTCGAGGGCTGTCACGGCGAGTTCCACGATGCTGAGGTTCATGGCATTCACCACTATCTCAAGCTTTGCCGTGAAGAGTCCCGGCACATCGCGAGACCGAAGAGTGACAAGACGGCGCTGTCGCAGTGGCTGATTTGGCTTGGGGGCCAAGACGGCTATACTCGACATGACGCTGAACTGGCTAAAGAGCTCTAGGTACGGCAGCTCCTTGTCAGCAGTCATGGACACTGGGTGGTGAGACTTGATGCTTTCCAGATCCTCCTGGTCGGCTGCCGCAGGCGGTGCCGCAGCCAGTGAGAGTCGGCCGAATGGAAGAAGGCCCATGGGATTGAGCACTGCCTGCATCAGTTGATGAGACAAAGCCGATCGGGGTGCCTCTTGCTGGGAAACGAGACAGCGGTGCAGCAAGTCCACTACGCCCTCTTCGTTGGTCGGGGCGACAATGCGCCCGGAGGTCTGCATCAGCCGCAGGCGCTCATTCTCCTCGCTCGCCGTCTTCAAGTCGCTTCTCAGCCTTGCGATTTCCTCTCGCAGTCCATCTCGCTCCTTCAATCTCGCCGCAAGCGGGTTGAAAGCAGGAACTTGGCGGGCGTGATTCGTCGTTGGGTCCAAGGCAAGATCGCGAGGCGGCTTTTGGCTGCGCGCAGTTGTTCGGTGGCGATCCCGGGCCACGGCGCCAGGCTTTTTGCTTGGTTCCGGCGGGGGCCTTTCCGGCGGGGGCTTCAAAGGAGAGCTCTTCTTAGTGGCCTTGCGTTTCTCCCGCCACCGTGACGGACTGCTGTGGATTCCTCTGGGCGGAGTGGACGACAAGGCATCGGGGACTGCGGGTGGGAGTTCGGGCTCTGGCGGGGGTGGTATGGACACGCCCGTATTCGGAGATCGACGCAGCGTATGCCCGATGAATGGGTTCAGCTCATCCTCTCCCTCGGCTGCGGGCGGCGGCAGCGGCCTCGGCTGCGGTTTGGCGGGCGACCGCCTCGGAGCCGCCGCCAGACCACCCCTGACCGTCCTCACGGATCGTCCCGAGCTGGGCCCAGCCTCGCCCTGGCGCATCTCATTGTAGCTCCGGTCTGGCTCGCTGACGGCGACATTGTCGGCCGTCGTGTCGGGGCGCGCAGTCAGTATGTCAGACAGGCTCTGGTCGCTTCCGGCGTCGCTGGCACGTCTTGCCGGCGGCTTCGCTGGGGAAGCAGAGCGTCTCTTTTCGAGAATCTCGGGATTATGGCGCGAGAGGCTGGCCTTGGTCGGCGATGCAAAAGACGGCCGCGCGCGTCGTGAGCCTGAGGCTTCTGGGGTTGCGCCTTGGCCTGATGTGCGGGCGGCTGCGATGCCCGACGAGACGCGTCGACGCTTGGGCGCAGACTCGTCCATGGCGAAGAGATGAGTGCCGGCTCAGAGGCACGGCATGGCAGAGGATTTTGCCCGAGTCTGAGGCCTGCAGATGCGACGGTCGAGGGGGTGTTCAATGTCAACACTGTGGGCACGCGTGCCGCCTCGGTGGGCTTGACCGCCTGCTGATCCTGGAGGGAGATGGCGAATCAGTGCAGGCCTGCTGGTCATGTTACTGCACGGCAGTAGTGGCAGCACAGCACCCGCTGGAGGTCTGGCGGTGGAGAATCGAAGAACAGTCGAGCTTATCGCCAGCAACGGAACAATTCATTTTTCTTTATCCGTACATAAAGGCAAAGCTTCCTCCCTGTTTACTTTCAGTTATTATGTCAGCACCTAACGCAGCACTAACGCAGTCAGTACGTACCTCGAAGGAACGCTTCAGAACGCGAAAGCACGTGGCCCCCAGCTCACGAGATGCAGGCACCGTCACGTGCGGCCTTTGAGGCCGGCAGTCGATGCCGCGGTATGACGCACTCACTCTCGGTTTGCGCCCTGACATGGTGATATCAGCTTTTCTCTCACTCCCCTCCCCTCGTTCCGATACCCCCGCGATACCGAAACAACCTCATCGCATCATCGCGCACAATGTCGGCATCCAAGAGGCTACTCCCATCAAGGCTTAGCCTTTTGCGATCTGCCTCATCGAGCCCCAGCCGAAACTTCACCAGTACCACCAGATTGGCCGTCCAAGGTGAACCGTGGCCCCAGAGATCTCCCCTGGGAGCCTACTACGAAAGCATCATCCGAGATCCGACTCCGTATCCTTTCAAGGAGAAGCCCGAAGACCCTCCCGACTCGGCCGACCCCGACGTCCAGCCCCCCGGCAAGAAGCCCGAATCTCCGTCCGCACCACCGCCGACCAAGAAGAAGCCGGGCCGCAAGCCAGCAGCCAGCGCGTCCGCTTCGTTGCCAGCATCTTCCGACCTCTCCGCCGCGTCCACTCCCATCCCATCACCTCCCCCCATGACAGCAGCGGAGAAGGCCCGCATTGTCTTTGGGTCCCGACTGCTCGGCCCTGCCGAACAGGCCGATCGCCTCGCAGCCAAGAAAGCCCAATCGACATATATTGCTGGTGTCCTCGTACCTCCGCGCCCCGAAGAGCCCGACAACTGCTGCATGAGCGGGTGCGTCAACTGCGTCTGGGATCGGTTCCGAGATGACATGGAAGAGTGGTCAGCCAGGAAGAACGAGGCGCAAATGCGACTCAACGACAAGGAGGCATCCATAGACGCTGATGGCGGCGGCTCACAAGGCGGCTGGGGGGTCAGACTTGGCAACGCTAAGATCGCAAAGGACTTATGGGATGAAGAAGTGTTCGAAAACGTCCCGGTCGGCATTCGCGAATTCATGAAGCAGGAGAAGCGGCTGAAAGAGAAGCACCAAAGGGAAGGGACCATGGGGGGCTGAATGATGCGCCAATGACTGATGCGCCGAGATATAGATGAGATTCTGAGCGTTTGTTGCTGCTAAACTGATCGCGGAGACTTGGATACTACGGAGGTATTGCGAGGGTTGAATTGGTTCCCGTCAGTGCTGAGCCCGGCGGACAGAAGCGCGTCGGGGGCCTTTGTTAGATCAACGTTTACTTACGAGCCAAGATGACGCAAATGTTCCTTTGCTCCGCGTGCTTGGATTTGGAATTGCCTTGAGAAACGCCGTTGGATTGACCATGTCCGCAGCCTTCAATACGGTGAGCACGGAGTTGAAATGCGTTTATTGATGTAGGACTCCGATCCAAGCCCATGTCGCCAGCCAAAAACCAATTACTCCCCGCCTGGGCCAGAAACTGCCCATGGAATTCCTTTCCACGTGTCTAATAGGCCACTGTTGTCGACGCCGAGATTTTTCCCTTGCTTGTTTATTGTATGAGGCAGCATGCAGGTAGATTGTACCAAAGCAACTCGTCCGTTTATCCATCAAGGGGTCTTGGCAGCATGAGCCATTTTATCGTGCTCTTCAATGTCTATCGCCTCCCAAGGGTAGTTGATCCAAACGTCGCCGACCGTCTCGGCCGCCTCGTAGTGCGTGTCGATCATGTCGTGGGGCAGGACGCCCTTTTTGGGCTTGTCCTTGTTCTGTGCTTCGGTCAGAAACAAACAGAGCCAGACACAAAGAAGAGTCAACGTACGTGGAGGACAAAGATGCTGAACTGTGTCTTGGGCTGCTCGCCGCCCATGCGCTGCCGGGCAGCCTCGACGTCCTTTTCCAGCTCCTTGACCGCGTACTCGAGCGTGGTCCGGGTGTCGTCAACCTCGTCGACGATGAGGACGCGCTTGCCAACGAGGTTGTACATTTCACCGAGGGCAGTAAAGTCGAGCCACTGGGTGCGGGTGACCTTTGTGCCAATGGCCTCAACCTCTGTGCCGCCGAGGGACTCGTAGAGGGACAGGCCGATGGCCTGAATGGGGATGTTGGGCGAGCCGGGCTGCTTGAGGAACGAGCGCAAGATGCGGGCAGGGACGTAGCCGCCACCGCCAATGGCAATCATGAGCTGGGGCTGGAAGTCGGCGAGAAGCCTTGCGGCGGATTTGCGGCACAGATTGTGCACCTGGAAGGCATTGCCCGCGGTCCATTGTCAGGGCACGCGTCTGTCTTGGGCCAGTGTCCGTTGCGCCGGCAGGCGAGGACACTTACATCGTTGTACGTGACGTAGACTTTTTCGACCATGGCGACGACAATCTGCACTCGTCGTGCTCGCGTGAAACTTTGCGGGGCGGTGATATCGCGACAATGTTTCACGTCAGGCAGCGGCGGCGATTTGTCTCGCGGCGGGATCGGCTTCGACGTGATCGGCAAACAGGCTACGGAAAGAGGCGAGGCGAGGCGTGAGGCCCGGAGGGTGAGAAGAGAGAGGGTGGCGGAGGAGGGAAATCAGGCGAGTGGATAAGGATTCTTCTGGAGGTTTTTTTTTACCCTCGATAATGCCTCTCTATTCCAACGGCCAGCCCCGCAGCACTTTGGCTCCTTCAGCGGAGCGGGCATTCACTGGCCCAGTGGAGCTAAAAACCCGCCCTGTCACCGTTGGGTTGTAGGTAATCACTGAGTTTGAGGCCCAGCGTCGGCATCCTCCGAGGACCGACAAGTGGAGCGACTGTGAGGCCTGTTCATCCGAGAGAAATCGTAACAGACTCTCGCATCTTAAAGAACGTCGCTTTAAAGTCTGAAATGGGACGATTTCAGAAAGTTTGGGCCGGTCCCCTTTCCGCCCGGCTTCGGCGACGACGACTACTAACAGTGCATCACTAGTTAAATGGTCGTCGGATAGCTAGAGCCTTGTCAGTTTACGTCTGAGAAGAGTATTCCACCAATTCATATCATCCTCGGCGTTGAGAAGAGCGGAGTGGACTGTCGAAAGATCTAGCAGCACGGATCCATTTTGATAAACATGGCTGTGAATTTGTTGTTTGCGGCATTAATGCCTGTCAAAAGGCGGCGGGCGTGTCCCGCTCAACACGATGCCCTCAACCAAGTGGAGAGATGGGCGTTGCTACTCGGTAAATGTGAGTTGCCCGCCCTGTCCATGGCACTTGTAGCAAACCGAGACCCTCCTCGCTCCATGCAGTCTGGGTCTGTCAGGGTCGATCCAGGCCAATGCCAAAGATATGTCATACGGATGCAGATGTACGAATAGCAGAGCCATTCAAAGCCAACGCTGAGAATAGCCTTTACGTGTAAGGTGTCTGCGCGTTATCTCGACGCGAGCGAAGTATGGAGGGAATTTCCAGGAGAGAGCGCAATGCCCTTTTGGGGGCGCAGTATTATCATTATGCCGGTCCAGTGTGGAGTGGCGTCATTCCCCCGAGTCTCCTAAACCGACAGTAAGTAGCCCATGCATGGCGAGTCCGACTGCAGTCTCCTTGTTGGTTATGGCTGGCGGAAAATGGATGTGCAAAGTTTGCACCTCAAAGTCCAGGTTCACGATCTAATCAAGCAGCTTGAGACTGGTCGACCCTTGGGCTAATGATTCTGGTGCCGAGGCGAGCCTGAAGCACTGTCCAGTGTCGCTAGTGTGCTATTGGGTTGGCATCTGAAACTCCACTGCGAATCGGCCCTAGAATTTCCCGGCATTGTCCATCGTTACGAAAGGCAGAGATTTATTTTCCTTTTTCCTTCCCTTACCACCGCCGGCAACGGAGTCGTTGATTCAACAACGGCCGCATCCATCGCGTCGACACACCCAGCCTGCTCCAGACAGCCTCCGTCGTCATGTCGGATCCCGCGGCTCCCTCGTCGCAGACCTACCTCTCTACCAGAGGGGGTGACTACGGCGTACGCTCTCTCGCTCGACGCGCACCATCGTCAGCCGACTAAACGTTGCCAGCTTTCCTTTGAAACCGTGGTGCTCAAGGGCCTCGCTGCCGACGGCGGTCTCTTCCTCCCCGAGGCCATTCCCGCCGCCACGGAATGGGTGCGTCGCCACGCCGCTTGTCCACAACATCAAAGACTGACGCGACTCCAGCAAAGTTGGAGCGACTTGCCCTACGCCCAACTGGCCTTTCGCATCCTGAGCCTCTACATTTCCACCGACGAGATTCCCGCCGCCGATCTGAAAGACATCATCGACCGCAGCTACTCGACCTTTCGCGCTCCCGACATCACGCCTCTGACACACTTGCGCGACAACCTCCATCTCCTCGAACTCTTCCACGGCCCTAGCTACTCCTTTAAAGACTGTGCGTACGCACGGCCCTCCCTTCATGGGACTCGCCAATGACGCTGACGTCTTCAAGGCGCCCTGCAGTTTCTAGGCAATCTCTTTGAGTATTTCCTCGTCCGCAGGAACCAAGGCAAGGAAGGAACAGGTCAGTTGAACATGCGCAGCTATGCCTGCATCGAGGAGACCGACGACTGACTGGCTTCCAGACAGGCATCATCTCACTGTTGTCGGTGCCACGAGCGGCGATGTAATGCTCTCCTCGACGCCCTTCCCGGACACAGCACTGACATGCCATTAGACTGGCTCGGCTGCCATATACGGCCTCAGAGGCAAAAAGGATGTCTCCGTATTCATCCTGCACCCCAAGGGCCGCATCAGCCCATTGCAAGAGAAACAGATGACGACCGTCTTGGACGAAAACGTTCACAACATAGCCATCACCGGCACCTTTGACGACTGCCAGGACATCGTCAAGGCCCTCTTCGCCGACCCCGGCACCAACGAAACCATAAAGCTCGGCGCCGTCAACTCCATCAACTGGGCCCGCATCCTCGCTCAGATTGTCTACTATTTCCATGCCTACTTTGCCCTCGCCAAGACGTCCTCGTCGTTCAAGATTGGCGACAAGGTCAGAGCCGTCGTTCCGACCGGCAACTTTGGCGACATTCTGGCTGGCTACTTCGCGCGTCGAATGGGCCTTCCCATAGAGAAGCTCGTTATCGCAACCAACGAAAACGATATCCTGGACCGCTTCTGGAAGACTGGAAAGTACGAAAAGAACCCTGTCAGCGGCTCCGAGGCCGACGAAGCGTCAGGTGCCGATGGCGCCAAGGAGCAAGCGGGCGGCGTGCGTGAGACGCTAAGCCCGGCCATGGACATTCAGGTTTCGAGCAACTTTGAGCGCCTGCTCTGGTACCTCGCTTTCGAGTTCGCGTCGGGCGCCGGCATGGACTATGAATGGAGCAAGACTCAGGCCTCGCAAGAAGTGACGGCGTGGTTGACCGACTTGAAGAAAAAGGGAGGCTTCGGTCCCGTCTACCTGGACGTGCTGGAGAGCGCGCGTCGCACGTTTGAGAGTGAGCGCGTGACTGACTCGCAGACGATTGAGACGATAAAGAAGTACTACAAGGACGTGGGCTACATCCTGGACCCCCATTCGGCAGTGGGCGTCACCGCCGCGGAGAGGTCTATCTGCAGGGCCGGGGAGCAGATGCCTCACATCTCTCTCTCGACCGCTCATCCCGCCAAGTTTGCTGCCGCTGTCAACCTGGCGCTGGAGCAGGAGCCGGGCTTCGATTTCGAAACAGTGCTTCCGGCTGACTTTGCGGCTCTCGCCCAGAAGGAAACACGCGTCACAGAGGCGGAGAACTCGTGGCAGAGCGTAAGAGGCATGGTCCTGGCGCAGGTTGAAAAGGATCTGAAGCATTAGTTGCCAACGTGCATTTTGTCTAGCAATGATACCGCTACTGGGGAGTCTGGTAGATCCTGGATTCTGTTTTTGCAAGGTTGACGACCAGATGTTCCAAAGCATAGGAGATGACTGCAGCCCTTTCTCAAATCGAGTCGGCCTTGTCCACCAGGCTGTGCTGGTGCCTCCTGGGTCGGGTTAGCAGTTTCAATGAATCACGCGGTGACACAAAACGGAAACGATAGCGTCAATACGGGTGTGCCCGGGACGAGATTGCTGAATGAACAGACGCTTTCGTGACGCCAGCTACTCCACCGCTACTCCATATGCAAACAAGGCGACGTTCTCGAGTGCTTCATGCTCTTGCTCTCTCCAGTAGGTCTCCGCTCCCCAAAGAGAAGAAGCATCTCACTGATGTCAGTTATTACAGGCGTCTAGTGGCCGTGTCAAAATCCAGATCAAGCTGTACAGTATAATACACGTACAAGTGGACCGTCCCTTGCTTCGAATCTGGAAAACTTCCCCAGGCCGAGGCACAATTCATGATGACGGCTCTCGCGCCTGCGCCCTTTGCAGACTGACCTTGACGCCGCCTCTGCACGTCGTGGCCAATGCATCGACCTCAACCCATTCCCTCTCGCCACGGCCCTCAATGGCCTCGAAGGTCTGCGCCATCCGAGCTGCGATATATTGCACCTCGGTTAGCGCCAGCTGCTCTGGACGAACAACAACACCGTCAGCACACAACTCCCTGAAAGGCAACCAGACGGCGAGCCGGGAGAGACATCCGACGACTCACGTCCCATGCAGATCCTCGGTCCTCCGCTAAACGGCAAATACCCCCAACCCGGACGCAGGCCGCGCCAGCGCTCGGGCTCAAAGGCCTCGGGCCGGCTGCCAAAGACGCCCTCGTCGCGGTGCAGAGCGTACGTGTTGTACATGACGACGACGCCCCGGGGGATGAGCAGCGGCGCATTGCCGTCGGCGCCGCCCCCGTGCGGCAGCGCTGTGTCGCGCGTTGCTTCGCGCGCGTTGACGGGGATGACGGGGTGGAGTCGCAGCGCTTCAATTTTTCCGTTGTTAGCCGTTGCTGTTTGGTTGCTGGTGTGTCGACGCCTCGGGGGGCGAGTCGTGGTCATGATGAAGGGCCGTCTTGACTCTAGAGCGGGAAGGGGGAAGAGAGGGCAACGAAAAGAGGAAGGGGGGCGGGGGGGGGGGGGGGGTGAAGCTCAAGCTCACATTCGTCGACACACCATCTCACGTACTCCATCTGCCTCAGCTGCGCCGTCGTGGGCATCTCATCGCCGGCCACGGCCAGCACCTCTTTCCGAAGCCGCCGGTACGCTTTCGGGTTCTGGGCCAGGACGAAGAACAGGTTGCTCAAGACACTGGCCGTGGTATCGCGGCTCGCAACCAGGATGTGCAACACCTGGTCCCGCAGCGTCTTGCGGTCCTGCGTCACGGCCGCCAGCTCGCTCAGTATGCTGCCGGTCCCCCGGCCGGTCCGCCCCACTGGTCCGGACGACGCGCCGTCCGGGTCTCGTCGGCCGTCCCGCGCCAGCGCCTCGTCGATAAAGTCGTCAATGTACCGGAACACCCTCCTCTTGGCTAGAAAGGCAGCCACACTGAACCGTAAGTGCTGGAGCGGGCCGAGCCTCAGCTTCTTGACTACCTCCCTTGAGCAGGCCATGTAGTCGTCAACGAAGCGCTCGGCTCTGGCATGCTCCCCCGCCGCCGGCACCGACCCCGGGTTCCCCATGAGATGGTCGGCGGCAAAGTCCATGGCCAGCCGGAAGAAGAGCGACTGCAGGTCGACGGGGGCTGTGCCGGGGAAGCGGCCGAGCATGGCTTGGAAATGGGGCTCAAGAGCGCTCGTCACGGCCTGCTTGTCGAGCCGGGCAAACATGGGCTTCAGCACCGCCCTCGCATGGGCCCACGCCGTCCCGTTGAGGGTGAAGATGCCCCGTCCCAGCAGCGTGCTCATGGCCGCCACCCTCAGCCGCGGCAGGGCAAAGTCGCCGAACCCCCCCGCGAGAAGGTACTTAATGTTGCGCCCGTCGGCCGTGTAAATCACCTCCCACGACCAGCGCTTGACCGTGTACGTGGCCCCGAGCCGCCGGAACGTCTCGAGCGTCGACTCGAGGTACTTCTCCTCGGACCCGCCAAAGATGGAGTCGTAGATGAAGTCGAAGCCAAAATACGGGTCTTTGACGGGTGCTCTGCTCTTCGCCTTTTGGCAGCCTCGTCGGCGGGAGAACAGGTATTGGGCCACGCGGCGGTATATGAGGTATGCGAGGCCGGCGAGGACGAGGAAGAGCAGCGACGATGGCTGCTGGAATTCTAGCTTTACCGTCTGCTGCATCTTGTACTTGTGCTCTTACGGCGACAGAGGCCTTGAGACTGCTTTTGAGCTGTTCGTGGATCGAATACAGGCCGAGCCAACTCAGCTTGACCCGTTCACAATAAGTTCTCCAAGAAATATGAACAGAAAGCAAAGATAGTATACAGTCCGTTAGGATCGGTAACTCGGAATGAGCATCAACAATCACAACCAGGAAATCCTCGCTTCTTTGTAGAGGCCGGTCATACTTCCTCCCAAGTCATCGGTGTGTCTGGTTCCCAGCACGGTCGAGGTCTACATGGATGACGATCGAATTTCCAAAAAAGGGGGGAAGGGGGGTCCATCTCGCTACCGGCGCGAGTGGCGCTCAAACGTCTCTCCTGAGCCCCATCCACATCGATGGTAGCCGTTCTGAGTGGCATGCTCCGCAACATATCTCTTCGTGATGCTGTATTGAGCGTGCGCAGGTTCTTCAACTCCGAACAAGGGGGTGGCTGAGCCACAGGTCTATGGCCGAAGAGTGCCCCGCCAATTGATCGCCAGGCCCGCAAGGCGGCCGCAAAGAGGTTCGTCAGTATATGTTTGACTATTTGCAAGGGTTTGTTGTGTTTTTGGTCGTTCTTGACTCCCGTGAGACAAGAGCGAGCATCGAGGCTGCGTGTTGCAGAAAAGAGGCTGCCATATGGCGTCCAGGTCCCCAAGCCAGGTTGCTGCCCATGCTCGAGACGGCGCAGGTCCCACGTACCGGGATCGACCTCTGCCGGGCGACAGCTCTGGACCCTGGTTATTCGTGTTAGCCTTCATCCCAGGATGTTGCGGTTGTATAGGGTTCCTACTGTGCTTGCTTGGCCTCGTGCTCGTTGGCCGCTGACAGACAGCCTCACCAGTCCAAGGCTTCTATACACCAATCAATGCGCCACCGGGCGAGGCCAGTGATACAATGGCTGAACGACCAAGTAAGCAGCGATACTGCCAAGCACCTTGACAGAAGACACAAGGCTCGAATTCCATTCAGCCATGTCTCGATGCAGCAGTCACCGCCGCCAGACCAAAAGCCTGGAACCTTGAAATTGCTGGTCTCGCCGACTCCGGGGTATCAAAAACATAAAACCGAGAAAAGGGTCCAGAAGGGAAGCATTCTCCCCCTTTCGCCGCTGGAGGGAGGGAGACAATCGTTGGCGGCAAGGACATCGATGACTGTCAGCCAGGCCTGTGGCAGCTTGCAGACGCCACCGGGGGTCACAATGAGCAACGTCCGAAAAGCATCGGCGTGCTTGGGAGAGGAGAGAGAGCCGCACGCAAGGGAGGGGGGGAGGTTCTTTGAAGTGAAGTGGCTGGGATGATCTTGATGCCATTTACATGCAGCCTCTCTGGACCTGTTCGGTCAGACTGCGTGGCTCTTTGTGGTTTAAGAAGCAGAAATGGGGGTCAAGCCATCCTCAGATGCACCGGACCGTGGACTCATGTTATCATGTTCATAGGCTTGCTGCTGTTCCTTTACTCGGGTTGAGGCTGGGACTTGGCAATGGAAATGATCTGTTTTGCTCCATTGAAGTGGACTGACGTGCTCAACATCAAACAAGCACATGGCCCTCCCTCATCCGCTATGGCGTCGCACGTTTCATTTCGTTGCTTACCGACCTCGATCTCGGGTAAGGTCGCCAACAGCCATCTTACCTTGACAGCCAGCCCCCTGTTTCGTTCAATCTCGCCTTGCCCCCTCAAACCCTAGCTCTCCAATGCCCGCCAAGAGTCAGCATGATGCCTTTGCCGAGTCCATGAGCCTGCCCGGGTCTCACGTCTTCAGTCGCCCCTGTCTGACTCCTTCCTTGAATAGGGGGCCCTCTCGGCACATGTAAAAGCTAGCCATCTGGAGATCCTGCAAGCATCCGCCGCCACGTTGAAAATTCTGTGCCTGGATTCATGCTGTCACTCGAAGCCGTCTCGTGGCACGGCAGCACCAGAACACACACACACGAGCGCGAGGGAGCGTCAAGATGTCGGCTGCCGAACCCTGGGGCTGGGCTGAGGGCAGTATCCAGAACCAAACATCTGGTTCTTGTGTCCCCTGAAGTCTCGCGTCACTTACACATGTCGTCACACCGGCGGCTTCGCACGATCTGGTTCGCCGGCCCTTGCGAGTGGCGCATCCGCAGCCCCCTTTGACTGGCCATCAAGGACACTTCCTCTCCTATGCGGGTGTGAGTGTGACCAAGAAACCTTGTCCTCTTGTCTACACCGACGCAGGGGAAAGCGATGTCATCTCCCGGACCGCCGATAAGGAGTTTAGTCGAAGGAAGAGCATCGTGGGTCTCGCGTCGTTTGACGGTTACGCAAAAGGGGGACAACCGAACGACAGTCAACGGTCCTCGCTCCCCCTCGACGGAGCACAGCCATTGATCACGGTGAGAAGATGAGCAAGACCGTGTACCGGACGTCGGCGTGCTGCGTGTGAGCTTTGAGGACCCGGAATTCTGGACGTACGAGTAGGCGATGTTAAGATTGCAGTTGCTCAGGCAGCAGCACGGTGATATGGGGGCCTGCGGGCAGCGAGAATAAAGAAAGGAGACGCCGTCTCTCGGGAGCCCATGTTGATCAAAGAATCATCAAGGTCAGAGAAGGCGTCTGCATCCCCCTTTCTCCGTCACTCATTGACTTCACTTCATCAAGCAGCCCCTTGTCCTGTCTAGATTGCGATATTCGCCAAACAATGGCGCACCCTCCGTCCCTCCTCGGCCACAGCCACGCGGCCGAGGTCTTCGGCGCAGAGCCCCCGGACCTGGACCTCCAGCTCTGGAGCCTCCTGTCCGCATCGGCGGCCGCCTTTCCCCACAGAGAGGCGCTCGTCTCGCGCTGGCAGCAGCAGCCGGCAGAGACGGCCGCAGAAGCAGAAGTGGCTGCCTCGACGCACCCGGCAGAGGCAGACGAGGCGCCTCGGCAGCAGGCCCCCCCGGCCTGTCTCAGATGGACCTATCGCTCGCTCCACGAGAGAGCCGAGCGCCTCGCCCGGGCCCTCGCCGGCCTCGGGTGCGCCCCCGGCATGCACCTGGCCGCCGTGCTCTGCAACTCTGCCGAATGGGGCCTGTTCCTCTGGGCGGCCGCCAGGCTCGGCATGGTGTTTGTGCCCATGGATGCTCGGGCCGGCCACCAAGATCTTCTGCTCATGCTCGAAGCCGTCCGCCCAGCTGTCTTGATCGTCCAGGACGCCGACTTGGCCCACGACTTGCCGGCCTTGGGGCGTGGTCAGCTCCGAACGCCGCTCGTCCGCATACACTGCTCCCGTGCATGTCTCCCGCGCTGGCTGTCACTGGAGCGGGTGACAGGAGAGGCGCCCCTGGACCTGGTCGACAATGGCGACATCATCAGCGTGGCGGCGCCGGCGACGACGACGACGAGGGTTTGCCACGAGGGCCAGACGTCGGCCACCGGCGTCCACGAGTCGGCCAACAAGCATGACGTCGCCCTCGTCACCTTCACGAGCGGAACGACAGGCTCCCCCAAGGGCTGTCCGCACACGAGCCGAAACCTCGTGGCGCAAACACACGACTTCGACCCCAAGCGAGACCCAAGGGCCGTCGATCGCTGGCTCGTCCACACGCCCGTCAGCCACATCTTCGCCATCAACAATGCCCTGCGCGCCTGGCGCGGCGGCGACGCCGTCGTCTTCCCCTCGCCCTTATTCGACGTGGCCGCCACCGCCGAAGCCCTGGCGCACGACGGGTGCACCGTCATGTCGGCCACGCCCACGCTCGTCAGGGCCCTGCTGGCGCACGAGGCCCTGCCCCCAACCTCCAGGGGTCTCGGCCTCTCCATGGTGACCATGGCCGGCACCTGCGTGCGGCCCGAAGACGTCCTCCTCTGCCGCCAGGGCTTGGGGGCCAGGGATGTCGTCCAGGCATACGGCATGAGCGAGGGGGGCCCGCTGGTGAGCTGGACCAGACGAGACCCCCTGCTCGCCGACGGCCGTCATCCCGGCGTAGGCAAGGTCCTCCCCGGCGCGGCCGTGCGCATCTGTACGCCCGGCACCCGCGAGGTCCTCGGGCGCGGCGACGTCGGGGAGTTGCACGTCGGCGGACCGTCCGTCATCTCGGGGTACCTGGCCGGCGTGGACGGCGCTTCGTTTTACACCGACTCCTCCGGCTCGTGGCTCGTGACCGGTGACAGGGGCAGGATGGACGCGGACGGTGTGCTGCACCTCGAGGGGCGGTACAAGGACCTGATCATCCGCGGCGGCGAAAACATCCATCCGGCCAGGATCGAAGCGGCCCTGACCGAAACCCCTGATCTGCAAGTGAGTGCGCCCTCTGGAGCCGAGCCATTTCTCATCCGTCCGGGACCGTGGCCTCGAGCTAACGCAAGCATACAGGCACAGATCATAGGCATCCCAAACAACATCGCCGGCCAGCTCGCAGTCGCCGTCGTGAGCCTCCCCCAGGGCTATTCCAAGGCACACGTGGCCGAAAAGGCGAGAGCCCTTGGCCCCAGGTACGCCCTCGACGCCGTCTACACTCTTGAAGAGCTCGGGCTGGGGCAGATGCCCGCAACGTCCCTCGGCAAGCCCAAGAAGGGCATCCTGATAGAAGCCGTCGTCCGTCTCCGCGCGGCGAGCCGGCTCGAGGCTTCGGCCGAAGTTTCTGAGCTGCAGGCTCTGTCCCACGCACTCGCCACGACGTGGGAGAAGCTGACGGGCCATCGTCCGTCCCCGGAGCACCAGGTCTCCCGCTTCGCCGACAGCATAACCCTGCTCCGGTACTGTGACAGCGTCCTGCGCCTCAACGGTAAGCGCCTGTATCTCCAAGACCTGGCAACGCATGACACGCCTGAGAAGCAGGCAAGGCTGCTGCTGGACCGCGACGCGCAGCAGGATGCGTTGTCCGGCGCCCAGGGGGGCGTGTGCTCGGCCTGGACGCTACACGGCGGCATCTCCTCCACCCGTGGCCTTGACCTGATCGCCAGCTCCGACGGCCAGCGACACGCCGCCTTTGTAACTCGAGCAGCCAGTCGCCATGAGCTGTGGGAGACAGCCAAACGCAGACTTCAGTCTCTCGGCCTTGACCGATGCGAGGTCGAGGACGTGGTCCCCATCCGAAGCTCCTTCCAGCGCATGATATCCGGTCAGCGGCCGCAGTCCTTTCACATCCGTGTCGTCTTCCGCGTTGCCCAGGCCAAAGCGCCGCAGATGCGCAAGGCCATCGAGAAAGGGTTGACGCTCCGGCCCATCCTCCGAACAGTCTCCTGCAGACCCTCCGGCCAGGCTCCCTTCCACGCCGTGGTGAAGGCGCACCACCAGCTCTTTGGTCGACAGATTCGCGAGGTCCAAGTCAGGACGGAGCAAGAAGCAGAGGAACGCTACTCAGATGACTCGGCATCCTGCCGGGTACCGGAACTGATGTTCTCAGCCGACATCATCGCGGTCATGGAGACTGGGCAGTGCTATCTGTCGGCGATGTATAACCACTCCGTCGTAGATGCCGTCTTCTTGCTCGAGTGGCATCGCGACTTGGGCCAGCTCATCAGCGGATCCGGGACGGCATGGCCCGTCGACGCCCGAAGCCCGTACCGCTTCTGGGCCGACCTCTGGCACCAGTATCAAGACAGCCTCCCGGCCCAGGCCTCCGTGTCCTTCCACGTTGAGCGACTACGCGGCATCTCGCGCTTCAAGCACCATCTCTGGCCCCCGCAGAGGGCACCGGGGTGGATGATGGCGCGCGACGAAGATGCATCAGATGCCCAGGCGCGCCGCCGCGTCCGGGACCAGGTCTGGCACGGGACGTGGAACGACAAGAGGGCGTCTGAGTTTCGCTACCCGCGGCGAAGTCGCGTCGTCTGCCTGCCCAAGCTCGCCCAGCTGCGACGAAGCTTGGGCGTCGAGCCCGCGCTGCTAGCGAGATGCGCCGTCGCCATCTTCAACATTGTCCAGACCGCCTCTCCCTACGCCGTCTTCAACTCCTGGGAGAGCGGCCGGTCCTGGCCCTTTGTCCCCGGCTGGATGCAGGGTCTCCTCCCGCCGGCTCCAAGCATCGACGGCCCGACGGCGGAGCGGATTCTCAACGTTGTCGAGGTCAAGGAAGACGAGACGGTGCGCGACTTCTTGCAGCGCATGGTGCGCGAGAACGACGAGGCTGCCGCGCATGCGCATGTCCCCTGGGACAAGGTTGTCAGCGAGCTCAAGGAGGAGGGCCCTGTTGCGGTTGACGCTTCCTTTCGTCAGTCCTTTGTCTGGGATGTCAGCATGGGCAAGTCTCTTTCTCACCACGACGACAAGGCTCTGTATCCCGTGGCCAGACACGACTGGGCCGATTTGTAGGTTGCATTCCATTCCCATCCCATTCTGTATGACCCTCTTGATTCGTTCGTCTTATTCTCGACTTGATCTTTATTCAAGTCATGGCTGACGGAAGAAACAGCGGCTTCTGCTGGAACATGTTCCTGGCCAGCCCGGAAAACATGATATTCATCGCCTCGTGGGACACGGCGCAGATGAACGTCGACGAGGTGGACCGGCACTGCGACTGCATGGCCGCCGTAATGAGACGTCTAGCCAACGAGGCACACTGGGACACGAGGATTGGGCAGGTATTTCCAGCATGTGTCGAGAAAGGTTCGAGGCCAAATCTTTCATTGTAAAGGCCAGAGACGGCTTAACCGCAGGCATTTTGTGACAGTGACACTGGCTGCCGTAGAGCAAACGTCCGTCATTTGTCAGTTTTTCAATAGACCCTTTCGTTTTCTGTCTGTTAAAGCCAGGCGTGTTCATATCTCGACGGCTCATCTTCAGTTGGTAAAAGTCAAACGTCCTCGGTCCAGCAAATAAGCAACAAGCAAATGTGCGTCGTCAATCACCAAACCTGTCCCCTTCTTCAGAAAACCATATCACCAAGCCCACAAACACTAGCGCTCATCGTCTTCCCAGTCCGCAACGTGCTGGTCCACCGACTCGCCGTTGCCGCCCAGCTCACCGCGATCCTCGAGCAGCCACCATACCAGCGTGGCTCTCCCAAAGGCAAGCATGGCAGTTCCCTCCATCATGATCAGGCAGCCGACGAACAGGCCCTTGACCATCTGACTGGTGGCTTTGGTGAGGATCCAGATCCACAACGCGAGAGACGTAGCCGTTGTCATGGTGAGTATCAGGGCCTGAAGGTAGAGGATAGCAACGGTCGAAAGCACGCGAGTCTCGTGGAGGACGAGCACGCTCACGCACACGGCCAAAGTGAGACCGAGAGACGGTGCGAGGTAGTTCCATAGCCTGCAAAGTAGTTAGCCTCCAAGTATAAGAGAATACCTGCGGTGCAAGGTGTAAACGTACGACGAGTCCCCCAGTCCAGATCGCGGGTTGCCCTTTTGCCACACCAGGACGGCAACGAAGGTGCTGAATACGGCCAAGGTGACGATGCATTGTCCAACAAGCATCGCGCCATGCAAGGCAGTGTTGAGGTTCCATCTGTGTCTGACAAGACCGGCATTGATTGGAGGGGTCACGCTCTCTTGCTCCTCCAAGTCGCGATGGCGCTGCTGGGGTTGCCCGGTCGAGCGCCTGCTCTCGCCGTCAGGCTCGTCTCTCCAGGCCGGAAAGGGCGTCAGTGGCGACTTCTTGACGGTTTCCGCGGGCGACGGCGTCGACGCGTTCCAGCTCGGCGTCTGGCCCGCAGGCAGCTTCCCCTCGGCTGTGGTCGAGTTGCGTCGAGAACCTTGGGCCAGAGGAAGCAGGCGCCAGAAATCATCCGGTGGCGAGGTCGGGGCGGATTGAAGGCTCGGGTCCGGCGACATGGCGCCCCAGAGCGGCGGCGTCGCCGACCACAGGGGAGCAGCTCGCGGTGCCGACTGGGGGGCGAAGCGTCGAGCCGGAACCGCTGGCCGCGTGGGTGAGGTTGTCAACGACTGGGAAGCTCGATACAGGAGATGGGCTTGTCGGTGGTTTCCACGCGGTGTCACCTTACCACCTAGCAAAGGGCTGTGCACCGAGGCTGCTTCGTCTGCCTTGGCCATGGTAGATGGAGTAGGAGTCGGTCCAGTTGAACTGATATAGGGGCTCTTGAGGTGATGAGGGTGGCTCCGAGGGGAGGCGAGATCTTAAGCAAACGCGGCGCGAGGTGAAGTATCGAGTGAATTTTGGTCTCGTTGGTGGACTCGGCCTCTGCGTTGCGATGTTAACAAGGCAGCGGATGCCTGAAAGGTCCTCTGCAGGAACAACGGCTCCTTAAGCGATCAAGGAAATCCTCTCAGACAGCCCGCGTTTGTGCACACGCCTTCTCTCGAGCCGGATGCCACAATGAGAGCGGCAAGCGAGCCCAAGGTCGAGGTTGAGAGGTGTTGAAGGAGCTCTCAAAAACACAGCCCCAGCCGGTTTCGCTTTTCCACAGCAGCTGAGCGGCCACCTCTGCCAGCTGTTGGCAAAGACGCAAACACCTCCTCACTGGCCCCGTTGATTCAAGGCTCGTTGCTCCGGTAATGCGTGCATCTGCCGGCGTGTTCCGCTGTTCCGCCGGTGCGAAGAAACTGCTCGCCAACCGATGAGCAGGGGGCAGAGACGGTCCGTTTCGTGCGGTGAAGTGGATTGGCGCATTGCCACTGAAAGTTTTCGATTCCCTGGGCGCCGACACATCTCGTTTGCACGCCTCCCGGACCCTCGACAGCTCAGTGAATCCAACACCGCTTTTGCCCTCCAAAACAGAAAGAACAAGGAAGGAAAAAAGTCACTGAGTGGTGGGTGGGCGAGCAAGGTATTATTCAAGTTATGCGGTCCTTCATTCGAGATTCATCCGGGCCTCGTCGCCTATTCCCCACTGGCCTCCGTCTTTTCCCTGTTTCTGCAGCTCCATTTCGACCTCGAGGCCGAGCCCGGTCGCGTCCTCTTCACTCACATGGTCGCCCTGTACTTCGCTTAGCCGCCTGGGACGCTCCTTTTCCGTCGAGTTTCGCGGTCGCTCGGTAGCACGCTTTCGGAGTGACGAGGGCCAGAAAGAAGACCTGGACGAGGTCGAGTGCATCGATGCCGAGTCGTCGGCCGTCTTGGCGCTGGCGTCGTCGGCGACGGTTTGGTCGGTCCCGGGGAGCATCGGCTCGGCGCGCATCTTCTCACCCATGGTGCTGTAGCGCTGTGTGTGCAGGCCGCCCGAGGGCCCGTTGCCCATGGCCCGCGTCATGTCAGCATCGGACATGTCGACTTCCACCAGCTCGGCGTCGCGAAACCATTTTCTTCGGCGTGTCCACCGGCCCCAGCCATCCTGGCCCCTACGGCCGTTTTGCCACTGCGGGGCCGTCAGCGCGAGCGACTCGAGATCGGGAGAGGGGGAAGTCATCGGCCTACCTTGTTGTCGTAGTATACCCAGCCATTCTTGCCCTCGTCGCCGTCGTAGTCGACGGGCCCGTTATCGTCGGGGACGCCATCGACCCTCCATCGACTTCCCTCGGCCCACTGCCACCGCATCTGGCTTCCATCTTCGACGTCGGGGAGCTCAAAGTCGTCCTTGGGAGGCGCCGAGTTGTTGTGCTCGTCGGTCCAGGCAGGACGCTCGTAGGCAAACAAGCTGGCAGTCCACCCCAGGCCAACCCACCGCCGCTGGTTTTCGTATATGATAAAGGTGAACTTGACGCCCGCACTCTTGGGCCCGCCGGCTTTACGCTGGTCCTTGGGCTGGACGCCCGGCTGCTTGGTGGCAGCACGGGCAACTTCGGGCTCGGGCTTCTCCGCGCTCTTGGGCCCCACCTTGACGGGACGCTCAAAACGCAGGCCGGTGATGGCGGCGGCGAGGCGTCGGACAGTAGCGCTCCGCCAGAGTATGGTGCGGGAGACGCGCATGACCCTGGCGTGCCAGGTCAAGACCAAGGTGCCGGCGACGAGGACGACGCGGCGGGTGGTGACGACCCTCCAGGGGGGCATGGTGAGGGCGAGCCAAAAGGGGGTGACGATGAGGAGGCGGACAAACATGGCGGTGAGGGCGGGCTTTGTGGTGGCGCTCGTCGGGGTCCTCTGGGTGCTGAGGAAGTCGGTCATCTCGAGCAGGGGCTCCATGAGAACGTTGCATCGGCCGGTGAACTCCTTCAGAGTGTCGACGATTTCGTCGAGCGTCTTCTGGTGCTTTGCGCCCGTGACCTGCGAATGGGACCTCTGGTGTTTGGTCTTGTTGTCGGCGGCGTTGGCCTTGACGTCTTTGTCGGCGGGGGTGCCGGAAGCGAGGGCATCGGAGACAACCTCCTTGGCCTGCCTGGCGGGCTCGCTCCAGCCGCTGCTACTCAGGGGGCTGTAGCGGCGACCGTACATGCCGGCTATGAGGACAAGGCCGAGAACGACAGGGCCGGCCCTCCTGACGACGACATCGCCGTAGAGGACGAGGGCCCAGAAGGCGGAGAGGAGGAGGAAGCTCTGCCAGGGGTCGCCAGAGCTCCAGGTGAGCAGGCCGGCGAGCTTGTTGAGGACGAGGACAAAGGGGTGGCTGTAGGCCAAGGCGCGGGTGACCTGGGGCGGAGTGGCGAGCAGGAGGGGGCTCTTTTGGTGGACGAGGATGGTGGATCGACGGGTGGTGCGCGAGGGGGTGTTTGCGGTGAGGGTGACGGGGGAGAAGGCGGCGAGCGTCGGAGGAAGGCCGGTCGAGGATTGGGAGTCAAAGGCGGCGTTGCCGGCGGAGGCGTCGTCACGAGCAGACATGAGGGCGCCCAGGGATGACAGCCAGGGCGAGTCCTGGGGGGGGCTTGTCAGCGACGCCGAGCCGCGGGAGGATGTACTCCGTACGACGCTCGGATGGCGACGGGGACAAGGAAAGGGAAAAGAAACGACAGATGCATGCGCCGTCGTCGACAGGGTCATTAAACGGCTGTGACGTGACGTTCGGAAGGGAAAGCCGAGGGTGGATTAGCGTAGGGTGGAGGGAAGAAGGAAAAAAGGGACAGGTCGTGTACAGTCAATCAATCACATGCTTGCTGCTGGACCCCGCAGGCGGGTAGAGCCGCACGTGGGAAGGAGCAAGGGAGACGAGGGCCTGGCCAGGGGGAGGAGGAAAGAGCAAGGGATGAAGCAAGCGGAGAGGCGGCTCTAGTGAAGCGAGGGACCAGAAGGGGAGAGGCGAGAAAAGGGTGAGGGCAGGACAGAGCTGAAGAGGGCATGGACAGGAAGGATGCAGACAAGGGGGAAAACTCACAATTGCCGCCATCAAGACGACGTGCCAAGAGGTGGTGGCCTCGAGAATCCAGCCGTCGTCGGCGTTGCAGCAGCAGCATCGAGACTGTCCAAGGAGAGAAGCAGACAGCCAGGTCGAGCGAAAGGAGAAGCAACGGCCCTTTTAGTGTGCAGAGAGGCAAGACGCCGCCGCTATATACACGTGCAATGCAAGGAAGGACGACGACGAAGACGGAGCCGCGGGGAAACTCGAGGCGCCTGGACGAGCTAGTGCTGGGCCCTTTTGCTGGGCCTTTTTACAGGGGCTGTCCGCCCCCGGACAGGAGCCGAGGGACGGGCCTGGAGCCCACGTGAGGGCGCCTCTGTAGTGGGTAGTGGGCCGCGTCCGCTTGCGCACTCCGAAAGCCCGACGCAAGCGCTCGTCAGGTGGTGGGAGAGCAGGGGTTTTGCATGTACGAGGTATACTTGGATTCACGGAATGCCGTCACGGACATCGCACGGAACACACAGAAAGGTCGAGTGGTGCTGTTATTGCCATGTCCATCAATAACCGTCAAGACATTTCCCACTACCGCCCCCCGCCTCTATTGACCTCGAAAACTTGCTACCGTTTAAGACCGGCCGCAGGTCGTGCACGAGCCTGTCGTGACGTTAGCAAACATGGCGCCCTCCCTCCCTGGTCCAGCATGACGAAACGAAACAGGCTAGATTTCACGTACACTTGGGGCCGCAGTTGCACGACGCAGCCGAGCCAGAGCATCCGCAGTCTTCAGCCATGTTGTCGACGGTGATGATGATGATGGTGATGGTGATACGGTGATACGATGATAACGGGGGCTTTTACGGGCGATGAACGAGTTGTCTGAAGACCGATGAGATAAAGAAGCAGGGAGTTGTGAGTGTGCTCGTCGGCATGGGTGGAGGAAACTCCTCTTTTATAGACGAGCCCTGCGCGCTTTGTGCCGATTCTCCAAGAGGGGCGCCGCCACAGAACCCTTCTGTGCATAAACCTACGTGTCATTCTCCGGCCTGCGATTGGTGACGCCGCCATTTCCACTCCACTGCCCGGTTGCGTGGTTTGTGCCGCGGGGCCCGCTAACCGGCCCACTCTCCACGCCGGCCTCCGCACCGGGGCTCGGTCGGAGGCCGGCCATCGATCGACATTGCATGCATGCTGGGTACGGGGTATGGAAGGGGGGGGAGCTGATTCGAGACCAAAACACATGGTCATGTGTGCATGGACGAGGCCTGCGGACCTTGTCTGTGTATGTGTATTGTTTACTTACTCGATTGTTTTGCCACTGCAGGGATCAAAAGGCCATCCTCCTTCCATTACTCCTCTCTTTCTCGCATCTGCCCTTCTCCCCTCACCCAGAATCGTCTTCTCACGAGTCAGCTGCAATGCCCATCTATCGTCAGCCTCCCTGGGTCGCCCGCATCCTTCTCGTATGCTCGCCCGCGGGTAACAAGGCAAGGCGCCTCTGCCATGCCACTTACAGTGGCTTGCGTCCGTAGACAACATGGCTGTAGTCATCCTCCACTCCATCAGCCATCCAGGCTAAAGTCTCTCGGCGAGACAAAAAGAACAAGCAAAAGGGGGCCACTCACTAAGGGAAATAGGCATGCATGGACAGGTCCCTGAGATCCTTCCTGAACATGGCCCCAAAGACAAGAATCTCCTGCTCCGTCCACCCCAGGCCCTTGTGGAACAGCCGCATAATCATGCCGTCGACGTTGTTGAGCAGGTGGTGCTGCTCCCACATGCCCACCAGCTTGAGCCGCTTGTCCAGCGCCCACGGCGAGCACGGCAGCTTGTGCACCTTTTCCGTCACGCCCTCGAACCCGCCCTCCACCAGCCACTGCTTCCACCGCAGCGGGTCGTCGACGGGCGTCCCAAACTGCTTGCACGCCTGCTCCACGTTGTCTGACATGGCCTGGTACGCGCTGTCCTTTGGCAAGGTCCCGTCGTCACATTGGACGATGCCCGTCACGCTCTGGAACTCGAGCCACCCGCCGGACTTGAGGTGTCTGCCCATGCCCCCGTCAGCCGTCATTGTGTCAGCAGTCGTCTTGTCGTTGCGGTCCGGGATAGGGCGAGGGGTCGAGCCGCACCTGTAGCATTGGTCGATGAGCCTGGGAAAGTCCCGGACCGAGAGAAACAGGTCCCGCCCAAAGATAAAGTCGGCCTGGCTCTCCTTCCACGTCCACGGCTGTTCGATGTCGTCGAGCTCAAACGAGCAGTTCGGGGGGACCCTGTGCAACAAGCATGAGCCGTGGCATCCACAGACGACACAACTGTCCCTTGGACCAACCAATCCGGCTGCGTCGGAGCAATGTCGACGCCGACAACCTGTGCAAGCATCGTGAGTATCAACTTCATGTCCTGGCCCGCGCACATTTGTCCATCCTTACCTCTGCGCTGGGGTATTCGTCCGCCATGTCCACGGCCCAGATGCCTGAGACGGCGTATTGTTAGCATTCCAAAACGACGACTGGCGGCCATCAATTACCTGTTCCGCACCCGAGGTCGAGGATCCTCTGCGGATTCGGGTTGATTGGGGCTGAAAACCGCTTCTTGTCCAACAGCGCGTAGTACATGGAGTGGCACAGGTCCATGCGATCCATCTCCCGATCGTCCATGGGGAAGCCATATTCTGCCAATGGCAACAGCCTTGGTCAGTCCCGACTCTGCAGCCCCAACGGGGGGGCAACGATGGCTCCCGCATCTCGCCGACTGACCCTCCTTGCCGTAGGCAGCATACGTTCGCTGTCCCTCGGCAACGACGCCGTACAGGACCGACGACGTGATGGACGTCAGGGAGCTGTGCGTGCTTTGAGACTCGAGGCCCTGGTCCGAGTCAGCGATAACGGCTGCATCTAACACGAGAGAGTAGGATTGGGCGGATATACCTCGTCTTCTTTCTGCCTGCTGTCAATGCTCTGAGACGCAGCCCGAGACGCACGGTAGCCAGACGTACCTCGCTGACCGCGATAGGGTGAGGCTCGGCCGCATACTGGGGTTCAGTCGCCGGTTCCGTAGGTCGAGGTCGCGGCTGGGGGTTCCACGTCGTATGCTGGGGTCCTGAAGGCTCTGTCGCAGGTTGAGGCGGTGCCGGGAGCTGATTTCCCGGAGTCCCCGTCGCCGGTCGGGATCCTACTGCAGGTTGAGGTGCTGGCCGAGGCCCTCCCGTCGTGGGCTGAGCGCCTGGAGGTCCTGTGGTATGTCGAGACCCTGTCGTAGTCGTAGGCTCACGAGGGTCTGTCGTGGCCCGAGGCTCGCGTCCTGCCAAAGACGGAAGCTCCGGCATGCTAATTACCTTGTCCCGTTGCTTCGGCCTCGGACGGAGGATCATCCAAGAGCTCGCGTTGAGAGCCTCCGCCAAGCCCAGCCCTCGTGTTGTATTATAGAGCCGGCGCACCGACAGCCTAACCCCTTATGTCCGCGGCGTTGGCCCAACAACTTACACACGCCTGACACATGGCCGGGGGTGACGGCTTCCGAAGAGAGCCAGGGCTCGGTCAGCCGACAGGAAAGTCAACAAAAAGTGACTCGTCAGGCCTGCAAGCGCCCGGGTGGGTGGTGCGGCAGCGACGGCGCCGTCGAGACAAGAGACATGAAAAGAAACGAGTGATGGCGGGTGTGCGGTATCATGTTAGTCTTGCAGGGTTCGACGGGGGGGGTATGTTCTGCCCTCGTGAAACTTATTCGTTCTTCATGGTTCGTATGTAATTACTTGGAGACGCCTACGTGCACCTTGGAGTTGACAAGATGGAAGACAAGATGAAGAAGCCCGACGTCCTGTTGCTTCCGGCGTGATCCGTTCTGCTCTCCCAGAGCCGGGATTGGGCGGCGTCATGGGTGGAACCGCGGCCCCAGCCGTTCCGAGGCCTCGTTGGCAATCAGCGTCTTTTGGAAGGGCGTGTAGAGGACTTTGCTCCTCATACCGCCCAAGAGAAGTCTGGAAGCTCTTTTCCCGAGCTCATGTTCCACATCAAAGTCATGCAACCATGGCACTGGTGCAACAGAACTGCGAGCCCCTCCCTAACGCCAAGCATCCGTTCGGGAATTCTGTTTGTCGCTTCCAGACATGATACTTGCGGCCACCCCCGCAGCAGCAGCAGCAGCCAAAATCTCGGCCATTGGCGCGGCGGCTGACTATCCCGGCTTATCACCATGAGCGAGACGCCGCCGCTGCCGGATTGTAGCCGGGTCGCTTGTGAGACGTTCGGCATTGGCATTTTTAGTGCTTTTGCTTGGCCTCGGCTGAGCTGGTCGACGTGTAAAGGGGAAAGGGGGGAGAGGCGAGGGAGGCCGTGAGGCCACTGCAGTCCCGAGATATCAGCTTCAGTTTCTCATTGAAACCGCTGAGATCAAGGCCCCAAACCCTCGATCCATGTCTCAGCCTGCTCATGTCTCCCGCCTTCCCGTTAGGCCCGTTGCAGAGAATGGGATGCGCCGCCCAGAGCCTATTGTCTAGTTACTGCACCCTAAGCCGGGCACATCCCCAATAGCCGCAGAGGCCTCATTAGTTTCCTCGGTCCAGTAATTAATACAATTGCTCCACGCAAGTCTTAATAGTCAGATACATACCTACAGTACATACAGTCATATCCCTGTCCGTATGCCCCAGCAGGGAACTGCCGTAGCAATGCGACATTGTGTGTCCGCCATCTCCTGCAGACGCACGTTTCACAAATGATCCCGGCCATGATGGACAGGTCGCTGCCGTGATGGGAGGCTGATAAGCAGACGCCAGCCAAGCGACATGTTTCGCTGCTGGTCAATGAGCCCTGCTCTCCCCGCGTTTGCCTCGAGATGCGAAGCAAATTGTTTGGCGTGGCCCGTTTCTCAACCCCGCCGCCGTCCACCAGACCAAATCAAAGTTCCAGTATTGGAGACATACACAGTCTGTATGGGGTTTGTAGTAGTACATGCGCCGCGTGCGTATTAGTCTGCCGTCTCGAGGCTCAGAGCTTGCCCGTCAGCCAGTCCTTCTCCTTGTTCCCCGACAGACCCATAGTCCCCCTGACGGGCAGGTCGCGCTTCTTGAGCTCCTCTTCAATCACCTTCCAGCGGCCAATCGCTGTTTCCTTGTCGATGGGCCCAACCCTGCGACTGTGCACCGTGACGTTGCGCAGCCGCTGCAGGTTCCTTTGTCGGTGAAGGGCATCGGCGAGCTTGGGCGGCCTCGGGTCTCGGGTGGCGAAGACGAGCATGTCTTGCACCGTGTTGACGGCGCCGAGCCTAGAGTCGGGGATGTGAATGCCCGTGAGCTGGTAGAGACGTTTTCGCAGCTGTCGAGCATGCTGTCAGCGTTGCTATTGTTGATGTGGGGGTCCAAGGGTAGAAAGAGGGCTTACCGCAAATTTGAACTGGTCGTCCAGGATGATGTTCTTCCAGCCCAGGCCCCATTTCTCGATCATTTGCCTCGCCTCCTCGAGTGACACCATCTCAGGCGGCGGTGATTCTGCTATAGCCTCAACGGGCAATGGTGATTCCGCTTCCCCCTCGACGGGTGCTTTGACTTGGTCCTCGACGAGTGATTTGGCTTCTTCCTCGACGGGTGTCTCGGCTTCTTCCTCGCACGGGTCTATCATCTTCGATAGCGAGTCGACATCCCCCTTGAGCCACAACTTGCCCGACCTGACCTGGATCCCGATAGCCAGTGCTCGGCGGAGTGCCCTCGTGTCGCCCTGGTACCACGTACGCCCAGCCGATCGCTGGAGCTTCCCCGTATGCTTCAGGACTAGGGTCTCGACAACAGCCTCTCTCAGGTAGATCTCGACCATTGCACTCGCCGTCACCTTTTCCACGCCGCCAAATCCCCTAAATTCGCTTTCCTCACCCCAGTGCCCCGGCAGATCCCACCAATTCTTGAGAGCGGGGATCTCCTCGAGGCCCTCAATGTCTGTCGCTGGCACGTAGGTCGGATCCGATGCCTTGACCTCCTTTTCTACCAGGGCCTCGGTTCGCTTCGGCGGCAGGACGAGGCGCGTTTCCCACGCAGCGGAGGTAGTCTCCTCGGGTTGCGGCTGCGGCTGCGACTGCGGCTGCGGCTCGAGCGCCTCGTCAGGCAAGTTGGACACGTGTTCGGTCTCTGGTCTTTCCGTGTAAGGGTCCGCAGGGCCGGGAGCTTCTCCCCTCCAGAGCTTCGTTCGGACCCAGCTTGAGCTGTCGGCTCGGGTAGCGCACGTGGTGGAAACGGCACGAGAGGCGGCGAAGCACGGTCTCGTCGAGGAAAACGGAGGCGCAGCCGCCAGTCTCAGGGGCGCCAGGGTCCCCGTCCGCGGTATTCGAGGCATGGTCGTTGAGTCGGCGTCCGTAACGGCGCCTTGAGGTCTCGTGATGGGCTGCTTGGCTTTTTTTTGGTGCAAGGAGATGCGCGAGATCAGCGGGCCAATCAGCGGTCGCGAGTCGTTCCGGCGGGTGCAGCTGGACGCCCCACGCCAGATAAGGCCGGCCAGCCCAGCCCAGGCAGGCTGGCAGGGCGGTACAAAGTACTTGCTCTCGCATGCTCCCAAGATTCGCGACTCGCCGTGATCCTCCATGTTGCCAGCTCTCCGGACATCGCGCGCCATGACGAGATTGCAACTACTAGTGGCGCTCATCTTATCGGCGCTGGCCGCGGTGGCGTCAGCAGCGTGTGAGTCCCCTCGTCCTCGTCCCCGTCCCCGCGCAGGCCGACGACTGGTTAACCGTCGTCTCTTGTTGCAGCTGCACCCACGTTTTGCAAATGCACCTGCTTCAAGAATAGCACCATCATCCCTCTTGGGCCCGCGAGCCAGCTCAAAACCCCCTCGTCGTCGCCCTCCCTCCTGCTACGATCCTTCTTCTCCGTCCCGGACGCCGCTCACGTCTCCGACGAACCCCGTGCCCAGGCGGCATCCAGCCACAGCCAGGACCGTCGGTCGGCATCCACGTCATGCTCCGAGTGCACAAAGGCTTTCTGCCTTAGCCAGGGCATCGCCTTCTGCAAAGATGCCAAGGAGGAAAATGTCGTCACCATGTGCTTCCAGCGGGACAGCAACAAGGACAAATTCATAGTCTGGGGCTTCATTCTGGGGACGGTAGGGCTTCTCGGGTGGGCGACTTTCAAGCGTGTCGTCGAATGGCGCGAAGGCCGGGCCATGGATCGCCAGGGCTTCAGCTACTCATCTGTGGCGGGCAATCGATAGACATTGGCAAAGGCGGCGCAAGTTCACGGCTGGATGCGACTTTTTTGACCCGTCATGTGCTTGGGAATCCGCCTCGCCCTTGCTCGCATCGACGAGACTTGTTGGCTGGCGGCTAACTACCCGTCCTTTTTTTTTACATTTTGTTTGCCGCAGCATGAAGCATAACCCGGTTGAGCGGTGTGCCGGTCGGTTGGTTGTTCATCAGTCATATCTGCGCGCCACTCGCACGTGGGTTGCAAAACCGCTCCTGGTCCCAGCATGCTCACCCAGTACCCATCTACGATTAATGTTTGCTGCCATTGACCTTGCGCCGGGCGCGGACAGCCTCGGCCAGGTCTTCCAAGACGGTGACGGTGTTCTCCCAGTTGATGCAAGCGTCAGTGATGCTGACGCCGCGCTTCAGTTTAGCCGGGCCCTCGGCGGGCATCTTTTGGTTGCCCTCGTGGAGGTTGGATTCAATCATGACGCCGATGATGACCTCTTCGCCTTCACGCAGCTGGTCGCTGATGGCCTTTGCGACCTTTGGTTGGTTGTTGTGGTCCTTGAGCGAGTTCCCTGCCACACTGTCAGCTCGGTTGTTGGAGACGCGGGATGCGCATTCCGGGGACCTACCGTGAGAGCAGTCAATCATGATGGCCAATTTCTGGCCCTTGTCCTTGAGCAACTTCTTGGCGGCCTGGACGCTCTCCTTGTCGTAGTTGGGGCCCCTGGTGCCGCCGCGAAGGACGACGAAGCCGTGCTCGTTGCCCTTGGTCCGCGTGATGGCTGCCAGGCCCTGCTTGGTGACACCCATAAAGTGATGCTTGGACGCGGCGGCACCAATGGCGTCAATGGCCACACCCAGGTTCCCATCGGTGCCGTTCTTGAAGCCGACGGGGAAGGACAGGCCAGAGGCAAGCTCGCGATGCAGCTGGGACTCGGTGGTGCGGGCCCCGATGGCGCCGACCGAGATGCAGTCGGCCAGGAACTGGGGAGATATGGTGTCGAGCATCTCGCTGGCAATGGGCATGCCGCTGGCTGTGAGGTCGACGAACATCTGGCGGGAGACTCTCAGGCCCTTGTTGATGCGGAAGGACGAGTCCATGTCCGGGTCGTTGATGAGGCCCTTCCAGCCGACAGTGGTGCGAGGCTTCTCGAGATAGGCGCGCATGACGATGCACAGGTCGTCGGACAGCTTGTCGGACAGGTCCTTGAGGCGGCCGGCGTACTCGAGGGCCGCCTCGGGGTCGTGGATGGAGCAGGGGCCGACGACGACCAAGAGGCGGTCACTGCGACCCAGGACAATCTCGGCGGCATCGTTTCGGCCCCTGACCACGGTGCGGAGGGCCTCGTCCGGCACGGGGATCTCGGAGGTGAGCAGGGCCGGGGGGATGAGGGGATCCTGGCCGAGCACTGCGTGCAAAGTCAGCTTGCTGACACAGGCGCACACGAGCTGAGCCAGTTGGAGGAAGCTTGGGATAGGTTGGAAGGACGAGCGCCAGGCTGGAGGGCCCGAGGCTCGCGGCTCTGGTGCGCCAACTTGAGAGAGCGAGCCAACAGGGTCGCCAATGAGTCAATCGGTCGACGGGTGGGCCTCGTGGTCCAGCACTCACCTCTTGTGTCGTCGGCGGCCAGCGGATGCTCTTGGAGTCCAGGCATCTTGATCGGGTTCCGGGCAAGGCGCTACCCTGCAGAGGACGAGACGGCTCTGTTTTGACTGATGAAGCAGAAAGAATGAATCAGACAAGGAGATGCTGACCAGGCAGGCTTGTGTAGGAGATATGTGCGTCGATTCGGCCCCCAGGGTGTCGTCTCTTGAGTCGAATGAGTCAAAGAGGCGAAATGACAAGAAAAAATCAAGGTGGTGCCGGGACCGGAGCAGCCTCGGAGACTGGCCCCACTGCGCGGCGGCCCTGTAGGATTAAGTAGACGGGCGGGATGGCCGTCGGTACGTCAGCACAACGGGGTGGCCAATGAAGCTCGCTGGATTGCATGCTGTATCCGTAAGCCAGAGGGGATGTCAAGGTGGTGCAGATAACCTGACCTGCGCTCGCAAAGATACCCTGATAATTACCCTGATACACTGTTGGACGTGGGTGAGAAAGGCGGAAGAGGTTGGCCGGGAAGGCGATATTGGCCCCTGTGGGCCCGGGGCACGGCACTGCACTGCACTGCAGCAGATAATGCGGCCATCCATCCACGCCAACTCGCACGGCAGAAAGACGCAGCCCCGTGGCGACGCGGGGGGGGGGCCTTCTTGTGCCACAGGATATTACTCGCCGCGGATGTGCATACATACATGCTGTAGCAGTGGAAAGAGGAGCTGAAGACGTGGGTGTCCCTCCCTCTGGCCCACCTTCGGAGCCCCTCCGGCCTCCTCGCGCAGAGTCGCGAGAGCGAGCGAGTCGCGACACTATCCGGACCCGATCCAGTGCTTCTAGATGCCGCCCTTTTGGCGCAAACGAGCATGTGACGTTGGCACTCGGATGCCTGTCATTTTCCAATTGCAGTGTCGTCCGTCCTGGCCCGCGTTGCATCGGGCTCCGGCTCTCGAAACGTGTTGCCTCGGCGTGGCCCGCATCTCGTCGTGAAGCAATCGTGAAACGCAGCAACAGGCGCCGGCATTCCAACGACTACGACTCTGGTCACCGAGGGACATGAGACGCGCTGCTTGGCATGCTGAACTCGATGCCTCGAGAGCGCCACAGAGTCGTATGACGGTTGAGGGAGGACGGTCCACTCCGTCTCCACCGGGGCCAGTCTGCCCAAGAAAAAACCCTCGCCCGTGCATGCATTGTAGTGTTGTACCATCTAACTCTCTATGTATCCGTCGTGGTATCCGTCGTGTTCGAGTGCAGCCGTCTGGTCGATATGTGCTGCAACGTACGGAGTATAGCCAAGGACTGACTCTCTCTCCCCCCCCCCCCTCTCTCTCCCCCCTCCGCTCTCCGAATGTACAGTACGCAGCAGATACTCCCAAAGTCACAGAACTCTCTCTCTCGACTCGATTGGTCCAGAAATACCCAATATCCATTCATCTCCCATCACCTCTTGCTTCGTGCACGCTCTGCATGAGCTACACGTATATTGACCGCGCGTCATCCATCGCTCTTTGCTTGAAGCCCTTTACCGTTTCCTTGCCGCTAAATAGGTTCTTGTTCGACTGCCAGCTCCCTGTTCTCCTTCTTCCCCCTCTCCAACGGCTGGTCCGGTATCGCCTTCCTACAAAACCCCGAAGCAACATTGCTGACCTCACGCACGCACTCGCCGGTCCGGGGTCCGTTCGCCACAGCTTCGCTCTCCCCTCAGCTCTCCCCTCACCCTGCACAGAGCGAAGCTCAGCCGCCTCCCGCCCTCGGCTTGCTGACAACAACAACAATAACAACAACGGAAAAAGCAAACGCCTTCCACCGCCTATTCTCCCCTTCCAGCCGCTCGGCCGGTCCCAAAAGCAACCCAGCATCCTTGTTCTTTGTCCAGCCTCTCGCATCGCCCTTACATACCACGCAAGCTTGACGTCCCGCTCGCTGCGCTCGCTGCCTTGTCTCGGCCGCGGCCACCCGCTTCCACCCCCTCGTCTCCGCACTTCCCTTTCCCCTCCATTCCCTTGACCACGTTTCCCCGTCTCTCCGCCCTCTACGACATGTTTGCCACGCAGCATTACATGGAAGCCATGCACGATCCCGGGAGGAAGCGGTTGAGGGAAGATGATGAGGGGGCCAACGGCTTTGCGGGCTTCGGGGAGCATCGAAATGTAGGATGCCTCCATCTGCCCCTCCTCTCCTCGTCGCCATGCGATATCCGACTGACTGATCGTGGCCTTAGAAACGACTTCACTCTCTCCCACTTCGCTCGTCGCCCAAGGCCGGCCAGCAATGGCCTCCCGCTTCGGTAGCCACTCCGGTGCACAACGACGCCCTTCCTCGCTCCCACTTCTCGCCCTGGTCCTCGTCTCCGCTAGCCAGCTCCCAGCCCCAGGATGCTGAGATGGACATGTCCGACTCCGCGGTCTCTCCCTCGCCCTACCGAGTCGGAGACGGCCGGGCCCTTGCCCACGCCGGGGACTGTGACGCTCTCGGCCGCATGCCGACCCCCATCCAGCCCAGCTTCGCCGCCCAAGTCAGGGGCCAGCATTGTGAATGGGCGGGACCTGGGCCCGACGTCAAGACGCTCAACGGCATTGTCAACATGGGCCATCACCAGACTGGCCTCTCCGACGACCAGTGTGTGCCGAGGGTCATGGCCAACGGGACGGATTGGCATGCGGTCCACAACAACCGGCGCCTACCCTCCCCAATATCAGAGGCCGGTGACACCTCGCAATATCCGGCCTCTGGGTCGGCAAGCATGGTGATTGATGTCGAAAATGGCCATCAGTACGGGCTACCCGAGGCGTCTCTGCCCATGCACTCCCCCCCCGCGCACGCCATGCACCACCCCAACGCCATGATGGATGTCGAGAGTCAGCCGCCGTTGCCAGCCGCCGAGTCCGAGCCCGATCTAGTATCCCCCTCTCCAGGTCGCAGAGGCCATGTGCGAAGCAAGCACACGGTTAATTCCTGGACTTGGCAGCCCGGGATGAAGAAGAGCTTCAGTATAGGCTACAGGTCCGACTGTGAGAAGTGCAGGCTCAAGGTTCCGGGCCATTTCAATCACATTGTCATCTCATAGGGGGGTAAGAAGCGGTTGGTGGATCCCGTCGACGACATGGAGCTCTAGGACAGTGCTGTGAGGCCGCTGGACCAGCGTCGGAAACGGCAGCAGCTGAGATTCGCCCGTGCAAAAAGACTGCCTCACCGTGGCAGCGTCCCCATAGCGCTTACACGAAGCTCTGGTCAGCTTCGCACCATGCCATTGGTCGTGGCTCGCAAGCCGGACGAAACGACCTCTGCGTTGCTTGAGACGTCCGATCGCACCTTTTTTGCTTCAGCAGCGGCCGACCGCCGACTGCAAGTTCGGGCAAGGTAGTTTTTTCCGCGTGCCTACACATAATCACCCGAGAAGACTTGCCGCCGATTACGTGGCCCATGTTTTTTTTCTTCTTCCATGTCTTGGCCCCTTCACAGTTCGGGCTTGCATTATCAGGATGAAGCGTTCTTTTCAATTAGCGGATTTGTTTTGTATCAGTTCCTGTTCCCGGCGACAGCGCCGGATACTCTTGCATCGAGGAAAAAGAAGCTCTAGAAGCTCGACGAGGGCCGCGAGGGATTTCACGTGGCATCAAATGGAATCTGCGTCATCTTTCGCTCTTGCTCCCACTGTAAATAAACCGAGGGCGACACGAAGAGAGTGCTGATAGTGAGGTGTGCCAACGGATAAGCCAAGCTGGCTGTGCCCAGTGTTGAAGCGAGCAAGCATGGAACTCTCTTTGGCATCAATTCTGCTTGCCATACATGACTCCTGACGCCACTTATGCATTGCTCATGTACAACGGGTATGGTACACGCCCCTCTTCCCTGTTCGCCCGAGTCCCGCTAGATTGTAGAATAAAGTCAGAATAGGGTCATCTTCTTTGTTTTCCTTGTCCTTTTCTCTTCACCACGGCCACCATCGCTTCTTGACCGAGGGTGCCGGACTCGAAGTCGCAGAGTCAAGCCCCAGCTGGTCTAGGCTGCCCCCCTTGCGCTGCTTTTCCTTCTCTGCATCCCAGGCCTGCTTGGCAGTCGTCTCGATGGAGCGCACCACGCCGCCGGTTCCCGATTGATCGTCCGAGGCTGCTACTTGGCTGCTGCCGTCGCCGCTCTGGCTCCCACCCCAAAGACCCGATAGGATGCCCAGAACGCCCTTGCCCTTGCCCTCACTGTGATCCGCACTTTGGAAGGCGGGCTTGACGCGCTCCTCGAAATGTGTTCGGTGCTCGGGTGGGGATAATAGGGGCGGCAGTTTGGTGCCCTTTTCCTCGGCCTCGCGGTTGGCCTCTTCGACGAGCGCAATTTGTTCCTCCGTGGCCTCGCCCTTGAGGTAGGCCACGCGAGCTGCGGATAGGGAGTCGGCTTCGAGCGTCCTTTGGGCTTCGATCCACTCGGCGCGGCGGGCGCGATTATACCGTAGCATATCCCATACCGAGTAGATGCTCACGACGCCGGCCACGGCTGCATGCGCCCTCCCTCGTCAGTTCCTCGGCATCCTAGGCAAAGCGCGGGACAGGTGATGCAGCTCGGGACCTTACCGGTAAAGAGGACGATCCCCCCAACGGTCCACCGGTGCGCAACGTCCAGAAACCTCCTCGAAGCGTCGACAACCCGGTCCGTACGGCTAATCTGAGCCTTTTGCGCCGCCAAGTGTGCCAGCCTCAGCCGCTTGACCCGCTGCTCTGGCGTCTCGCCAGGAATCCTCGACTGCGGCGTGGGCATGGCCGCGGCGTGCCTGCCGGCTGACTTTGAAGTGGCATGAGGGACGGTCGAGGTGAAGCGCGTGGCGTCCTTGACGCTCCGAGGTCCAATTCGCGAGGTCATGGTTACAAAGAAGGCTGAGCAAGGACGCGGAAAAGGAGTCAGGGGAGTGCGCGCACCCCGGAAGAGTATGTAGATGGATTTGCAGATGCAGTGCGTCTTCGGGGTGGAGCTTGTGAGATTTTTCGGAGAGGTGGAAGCTGGGCATTTGTAGCCTGTGATTGGTGCGGGGAAAGTCCGGTGGTGGCAAGCTTAGGCTTCAAGAGTGGAAATGGCTCGATGCTGGGAGAGCAGAGCCGAAGATGTCTGAAGGGGGACATTCTTCGGCGCACGAGAAGAGCTCGGCGGGTGAGCAGGCAAGGAAATCTGTGGAGGTAATGTCCGACGTGACTCAGGCTACTGTTAGGAGGCTCAATCAATGCTTCTACGCGCGACTCCCGACCGGCAAAAGCTCTTGGAAGCTGGCGATGGGTGGAAATCGCGGTCAAAGACAACGATCAACTTCAAGGCCAGGTGCATTTTGCTATCGAGTGATCTGAGATCTGTGACTTGGGCGACTCGCTTAGGGGTCACGATCTCTACGTCGGCGAGGAGTCTTGGGGCTACGTGTCCGCATGAACAGCCCTGGAGCTCGCGTTGCGCAGAAAGCAAGGCGACGGACGCTCTTCACGGTCCCCGCTCGTAGCAGGGAAGAGCTTAATATTTCAAGAGCCTATCCAGAATCTTTCCGCCATTCGATGCACCGCGGGAACAGAGCATTGGTTTCCAATTTGACCCAGGGGCTGCTGCTACACGTGGAGAAGTCTTCTTCATGGCACCGCTCAAGGCGACACTCACAATGAAAACAATTGGGAGAATCAAAAATTACGCCCCCCATGGCCCCGAAGGACAATGGAGTGAGGAACGACTCCGCGATGTGCAATGCAGGCCTCCCTCACTGAATCCCCCGAATCTTGAGCTGGGGAATTCGGAACAAGGTAAGTATGAAGAGGAGAGGAAAGAAACCAGCAAAGACCGGCGCCGCGACGAGAATTTATAGCCCCCGGGCTCTGCGTGGATGCCTGGGGCAGCAACGGTAAGCTAGTTCCGTGCTGAGGTAAGCCAGTTTCACGTGATGCACACACATTGGAAATTCGCTCCGCTACGCGACAAGGCCCACGCACAGGTACGTACCCATTGTAGGGCACGAAAACCCTTTTGCCAATTTGTTCAGCCTCCATCTCCGAAATTTCAACGCCCTACCGTACATCGACAACCGGACCGAGTTTGATCGCAAGCAAGCACAATGGTATGCCTTCTTCCCATGATTGAAACGCCGCTGGCCTCGAGGGCATATCTCTGACTCTCTGTTTTCTCTCCAGGCGATCAAGCACAACCAGAAGCTGGTGAACAACCGTGAGCAGCCTCCGCCTATTTTGCCGACAGGTGACGAGACAACGAACAGCGACTGACTTGGGCTCGCAGACTTCCGCAAGGACTGGCAGCGACGGGTCCGCACCCACTTCGACCAGGTATGCGCACACGAGAACGAGGCAGAATCGATCTGGAGGAACCTGGCATTGACTGTCTGAACAGCCCGGGAAGAAGGCGTCGAGGCGCACTGCTCGTCAGGTCAAGGCCGCTGCTGTCGCCCCCCGCCCCGTCGACAGGCTGCGACCCATTGTGCGATGCCCGACCATTAAGTACAACCGCAAGGTCCGCGCCGGTCGGGGCTTCACTCTCACTGAGCTCAAGGTATGCCATGCCCTCGAGGCTTGTCCCAGCGAGTCGAGCCTGCGAGCCTCGCAAGCGCGAAGGGTCGGCGAGGCTATCATGGGTTCGATGCTGACACTCGACTGCAGGAGGCCGGCATCTCCCGACACTTTGCCCCCACCATCGGCATCGCCGTCGACCACCGCCGCCAGAACCTCAGCGAGGAGAGTCTCACCGTTAACGTGGCCCGCCTCAAGGCCTACAAGGACCGCGTTATCGTGCTGCCTCGCCGATCCAACGCCCCCAAGAAGGGCGACACCAAGACCGACCTGGCCAAGGTCCAGAGGGCTACCCTCATCTCCTCCGCCATGCCCATCGCCCCGGTCGACCTTGCCGTCAAGGAGATCAAGAAGAGCGACATGCCCAAGCCCATCGAGGGTGGCGCCTACGCCAAGCTGCGCATGGCCCGGAGCAACGCCCGGTACCAGGGCGCCCGTGACAAGCGCGCACGGGACAAGGCCGAGGCCGAGACCGCCAAGAAATAGTCGGGCAAAAGGGGATTCGGTGTTTGAGGATTTTGCTCTTTTGCGTCTCTTGAGGGAGCGGCAATGTTGGTTCGAGGCTCTTCTGGGGTTCTTGACTGGGCTTGGGGGGAAAGGTACTCTACATCCAGGTCAACGAACAATTGCATGAATCACCGGCTCTGCCCTGTGTTGAGTGGATAAACGGAAGCCTGACGCGTGAGCAAGCCGAGGTATCTTGTCCACAATGAGCCACGTCGAGTGGGCATGCTCTAGCTGGGCGCATACATATGTCTCTTTAACTTGTGCGAAAGCTACAAAGCACGTCCATTATTTGCTTGGGTTCTCGAGTGGCAAGTGCTTCGGCCCCTGGGCCTGAATTAGGCTATCCTCGTGATCTGTCTGCGACGACCAGTTCTGTGCCCTCCTTGACCAGGCCCTGCAGCAAACTGAGCCTCGTAGGCGGCAGCCTGCCCTCCCCATTCCTCAGGAGCCCCGCGCACAGTATGAGCGCATTCTCCCTGTCGGCCTTGGTCATACTGGCTTGCTGCTCCGCGCTATCGGCCTGCTGCGGCTCCAGCTGCAAGCCGCTTGCCAGAGACGCAGTCGCATCGTCGACTGAAGTCGTGTCGGCAAGGTCCTGGATCTGCCTCGCGGAGCCCGCTTCTCTCTCCGTCACCTTTCGCCCGGTGACGGCCTCTACGAGAGCGTCGCTCGCCGCCTTGACTTCAAGGACGGCGTTGACGACGGCCGCACCGTCCGTGGAGCGGCTCATGAGGGCGAGGATGAACCAGGCCTCGGAGCGTAGAGTTGGCCATTTCTGCAAGGCGACGACGAAAGCTAGGGCCCCGCTCAGGTCGTGTTTCTCGTAGAAGAGGCTCCGTCGTTGAGCGCCATCCGTTTCGCCGTGACTAGCTTTGCTCTCCTCCACGGAGGCTGGACTGGGTTCTGATGAGACATTCTTCTCGTCCCAGTCTGGGAGTACGTTTGATGCGGCTGACGAGTGTAGGGTGCGACAGAGAGCAGTGATGGAGCGAGCCGCCTCGAGCTTTGTGGGCTCAGCATCCGATCGGTCAAATAGAGAGACAATGGCGGCAACACTGGTGCGCTCATGATCCGGACTCGATGGATCGGCGCTCAGCGGTGTGCAGACCCGGCGCACATTTGGCGGGCAGTTGAGGAGCAGGAGCCTCGTCAGCGAGATGGCGGCGAACTGCACCTGCGGCAAGGTGTCGAGGGAGAGAATTCGGGGAACGCAGCCGGGTGCCAGGAGATCGCCGAGCTGGACCTTGTTCTGCGACGGAATCGCAAGGTTTCGGCCAAAGGACAGGGCCAGGTGGAGGAGCTGGGAGTCGTTGACGGCAGGGCTGGAGAGGAGATTTGTGAGAGCGATGTGGACGGCGTGTTTCTCGACGAGCTCGACGGAGGCTTCGTCCGAGCGCGAGAGATTGCCCAACGCGAGACAGGCTGCTGTCTGCAATGCCAGGTTCGTGCCCTTGATCCAGGCCAGAAAAGACTGAGCCACGGACGAGGATAGCGGGTAGTGAGGGGAGAAGGAGTCGTTGCCGGACAGATCAGCGAGCATCGTCAAGAGAGCGGAACGTAGCTGCTTCAGCCGCGTTGCAACATCTGAGTCCTCAACCTCGTTTGGCATCCAGTTCGTGTGAAGGTGGTGGAACGCATCTATGAACAGTCCCACGTGGTTCTCAGCAACGAGCCGGGACTGGAAGCCCTCGTTGGCGAGATATGCGACGGCCACCTCGACAATCGAGGCGAAGCTCTCCACGTCCTCTTTCGACAGCTCGCTCGTTGCCAGGCCGAAAAGGGCGTTGGCGGTCGACGGGTCCGCCACTGATGACTCGCCGTCTTGCTCGACGAGCAGGGCGAGAATCCTGCAGATGTATAAAACGGCAGCGGTATGCTTGGACAAGTTGGGTAGAGACAGGTGCGCGAGGATTTGGCTGCTCAGGCGAGACCGCGACGCCAGCAGCTGCGCGGGTTCTGGCCATGTCAGACAGAGACGAAAGGAGCGGGCACAAGCTGAAGCGGGAGCTCTCACCATAGTCGACCAAGATATTGTACAGAACTGGGACGGTAAATAAGAGAAGAGCCTCGTCTTGCAGATGGCGGGAGACGGATGAGAGACGGTCCGCTGCGACGACTCGAGCTCTATTCTGGTCCGTGTCGGCGCAGGAGTTGCCCACCAGGCGGAGAGCGTGGATCTGCAGTCCCTGGCGCAGGTTGTCCTCTGCCAGCACCGTCAAGAAGAAGTCGAGGATGCCGGACTCGCCCAGGGGCAAGCGCCACGCCACTGACATAGAGGAGCATCAGCCTGTTGCTTTTATCCTTAGGACGCGTTTCGAGCAGCGGAACCTGGAGGCATGCCGGGCGGCTCGGGAGCTCCAGGACCAAACTCACCATCTCTGCTGCCGTCTCCCAGCTTCTGGGCCATGGCATCCAGTGCTTCCGACCCAGAGGCCCACGTCTCTTTACACGCGCTCAAAACAGGCAGCAGGAGCGCCGTCCTCGGCTCGCAATCGCCGGCTGGCGGCTCCGAGTCTGACCCGTCGCCGTGTTCATCTTGAGGCCGGCCACTTCCGTTGTACTGAAGCAGAGCCTCAATCTCCTGAGGGGTCATCATGGCGCTGCAGACGCAGCAATGGGCCAATCTTTTCCGGCAGAGAGCGGCTCGCGTGTTGAAGCTGGGTCGCGCCAGCCAACAGCTTGCAGTCCCGCCGCCGCGGTGTCGGGACTTGGTGCCAGAAATGCAGCCGCCCTGGGAGCAAAACCAATGATTCGCTTGGCTGCTTGACTGGCGTGAGTTAAAATTGAAGATAAACGATCCGTCACTCTGCCTTTTTTTTTCCTTCTTCAGCAGATCACACGGGCTGTACGGAGTAGCATGTGCACGGCAATGCTCTTTCCGTTCACCTAGGTGGGTGTTCGGTGAGCGGCAAATATCCGGCGAAACTTCTGCGCGTCTACAAAGTACCTAGGCACGTACCCTGTACTGGAAAAATCCCGAAGGCCGCTGCCGCCGCCGCCCATTGCAAGATTTCTTTTGGACGGAGGACGCATTCTTTTCATCAGCATCGCCCACGACAAACGCCGCATGGCACTATCCCCGGCTGCCAGAGACACTCACCGTCGGACCAAACCCTTATCGCCATAATGGTATGAAGCCTCCAAGCCCCTGCTAACGGCAATCCGCGCTCAGCTGAGATGTCTGCATGCGCGTGCTCTCCGTCGGCCGACGGCCCCTCGTCCAGCTCCCAAGACGCTTGCTAACTCCTACGTCTTAGGCGCACCGCTTCGTCTTCACCGCCTTCCTCACTGGATCCCGGATCCTCGGCCGGTCTTTCATGGCGGCCTACAAGCAAGCGCAGGCGGCGTCGCAGTACCAGCGTGCCCAGGGCAAGATGAACGGCGGGTCGGGCGCCTCGGCGCGCGCATCCTTGTCCTCGGGCATGACACTCGACGAGGCCTGCCGCATTCTCAACGTGAAGCCCCCGGCCAACGGGCAGGCTAGCGTCGAGGAGGTCCTCGACCGGTACAAGCGCCTGTTCGACGCAAACGATCCCCAGAAGGGGGGCAGCTTCTACCTCCAGAGCAAGATTGTCCGAGCCAAGGAGCGTTTTGAGCGGGAGCTTGGGCCCATGAGAGAAAAGGCGGAGCAAGAGGCCGAGGCCAAGGAGGGGTGGAAGCCCAAGATCTACAAGGACCGGTAGGGGAAGCCAAGGGAAGGCGCACACTACTCTACGGGCCGAGCGATGCATCGGTTGACCCTGGATCTACTCAAGCGGCGGATGAACGCTCGGAGACGAGTGTTGCATTGGGTTGCGAGACGACGTGGCTCTTGGGCAACCCGGCTTCCGTGATGGGGGCTACAAATTCCCCCTTTGTATACACTTACATCTTCACTCGACTACGGCATGGCATGGCGTTTTATGGGCGGCGGACCGAGGGCTGTGGCCGCTGGGCGAATGGATTTAGAGGAAAAAGGGGGAGGCGTGCTTCGATTGTATGCTTAATGTTTTTGTACAATACGATGGAGCGTGACGATTTGTTGCATGCGGTATGCCTTGGCCGCATCCTCCTTTCGAGCTCACTTTCGGCGAGGCAGGGAAGTGGCCATGCGAAAAACGTTGCTTTGGCTTTTGGTCCATGGCTTGCAAGTTTGGTCCAACGATGCTGTCGGAGAACTCCTTCTCTCCTCCCTTGAGGCTTCACTTCACGCAACACGGTTGAGAAACAAAGTGTCTTTGCCTGAAAGACGTGAGTCGAGTCTATTGCCGCCAGCACATTCGTCTACTCTTCTCAACTGTTACATAGGCAAGCGGTGTTCTTAAGTCTGTCCCCCGAGTACAGGGTAAGCGGCCCTCGCCAGGCATCTATTCCTTTCGCCGGACCAAACCCTTCCAAAAGTCAAAGCTATTCTCATCACTCTGCAGGGTCCACATCTTGCCGGTGCCCCTGCCCTCGGCATCCGTCTCCTCGACGCGCAGCATCCCCCAGTCCTTGGTGATGCCGAGCACGCGCGCCCTGACCCCGCCCTCTGCCTCGAGGGAGACGGCCTGGCCCGTGTGCAGCCAGTGGCGGTAGTAGCGCCGCTCGAGGTCCTGGGAGAAGCCCTGGCGGCGGAACTGGGCGTGGACAGACTCGAGGCGCGTGAGGATGCGGGCGAGGAGCACCTCGAGGCGGAGGGGCGCGGCGTTTGCGGGGAGAAGGTCCGAGAGGGAGGTTGTCGGGCGCGGGTTGATGGCGTTGATGCCGATGCCGAGGACGATTTGGTACGAACCGTCACAGTAACCGCATTGCGAGAGCAAGCCGCCAATCTTGACATACTGCGCGGAGGCAGCGGGCTTGGTTGGGTCGAGAGCATCTCCACGGCGTCAGGTCTCGCGAACAGATGTGATCTAGCGGCGTGGTATGTTTCCTTTACTTACAGATATCGTTGGGCCACTTGAGCTTGACGGGCAAGTTCTCATATCCCAGGCCGAGCGACTGAATGGCCTCGACAACGGCAATGGCGGCGACGTACTGGATAAAGATGACGGGGCGAGACATGGCGAGGTGGGCCGGGTGATTGATGACGACGGAAAACATGAGGGCACCGGGCGGCGCGACCCAGGCGTTGGTCCCGCGCCCGCGCCCTGCCAGCTGCGTGGATGCCGACAAGGTGAAGCCCGTGGGCAGCTTGGACGTGAGCTTGGGGTTTCTGGCGCGAGCACAGGGGGTGTCAGCCGCGAGTCTCGGCAATTTGAGGGGGGGTGGCAGGGAACTGACTTGTCGAGGAGAGAGTTTGTGCTCGTGACAACTTCGCCGTAGAGCAGGACGTTGCCCCAGTCCACGGCATCCTCCTCCATCGTCTGAAAGCGCCTCAGACTCGTGTAGTAAAGCTCGTGGTTGAAGTGCGGGGTCAGGTCCGGGGGCGGCAGCGTGCTCTCGTGGGCGACAATGGTCTTGGTGACGGCGGCGAAATCCACATGTCCATCGTCTCTGAGGCCTGGCTCTTCCACCGTCTCAAGGAGCGATTGGCGCAGCGTCTCGAGCTCGAGCTTGCCGTCTCGACTCTGGATCCGAAAGCTATCTGCCTCCCCCCTGATCCACTCGGCCCCGTCTTCCTTGTCCATGACCTCCTCCCAGGCGCAGAGCAGGTCCAAAACCTTGGCGCTGTCCATGGCCGAGAGATGCAGGCGGGACAAGGGAGGGGTGCTCGCCTCCTCCTGACACACATCCAAGCCCAGCCTGCCGAGGCACGCCCTCAAGAAGCTCACGCGGGCGTGGTTGTCGGCGGCGAGCTTCTTGACCAGGTCGTCGTAGCCGGGCACATCTGGCTGGGGATAGAGGTTGGTGGCGGCAAACCTGTGGCACATGAGCTCCTCGGGCCGGTCCTTGTGGGTGAAGATGGAGTGAGGAGGATGCTCACTCTGGATGCGGCCCGCACAACACCGCCTTTCCGTCTCCAACGTGACATAGGACGACGGCGGCGTTGGCGTCTCCGCCGTCGACGTCGAGGTGGTCGTCGTAGGAAGCCAGGACCTCGACCTTGCGGGCCCCGAGCTTGGGGGCATCGACAAAGACGCCGCCGCCGTTGAAGTAGGAGACGAAATGCTCGGGCACGCGCTCCTCGAAGGCGGCCGTGACGACGCTCAGCGAGGCGGCCCGGGCGCCCTTTTCGCTGTGGTACTCGAAGCCGGCAAAGGCAGCGCCCCTGCAGGTGCCGGGGAAAAAGGCCAGCTCGCGGCTCCCGATGACCTCGAGCGGCGTGCGGCCGAGCTCAAACTCACAGCGCGCGCTGCCATAGTAGCCGCCCGCGCACAGGCCGAGGTACGCGCCGCCGCGACGGACGTACTCGGCGATGCGGCGGTTGCCGGGCCCGTCGAAGACGCGGCAGTAGCCCAGGTCGGCGCCGCCGGGGATGACGAGCAGGGCGCAGGTCGAGGGCCAGGGCTCCTTGAGCAGCGCCGACTCGGCGACGGGGATGACGGCGTAGTTGGGCGACAGCAGCCGGCGCAGCGAATACATGCACTGCCGGACAGACTCGGCGCTGGTCCCGGTGCCTGGGCGGGTTCGAGGTCAGCCGGGCGTCACGCGAGCATGTAGTGGGCGCGACTTGCCTGTGTAGACAAGTATGTTGAGCCTCGCGGGAGGAGCCATGGTGGGCGGCGTCTGGTATGTAGCCGCAAAGAGGCCATGTTGTAGTCGTGTTTCCCCCCTCCCCTCCCTTCGCCAACTCGCCTCCCGCACTGGTGCCGCCAACTCAACCAAAGGGCCAGCGACGGCCACACAGCCAGCCAGAGAAAGCAGCAGGATGGCTACAGACGAGAGCAAGACGCCGCCTCCGACGGCTGCTGAAGTCGACGAGCCGGATGAGTGGTGCGTCGACTGCCCGACGTTGAGGCTCTTGCTGACGCTGATGATGTAGGGACAAGCGCATCTTCAGCACAGGCTGCGCAGGTGAGTTTGATACCAGGGCCAGGGTTTTCTCTGGATGCGACAGGCTTTGCGGCACCTGTCCCCTGTCTTTTGTTCATCACGCGGGACTTTGGAGCCTGACTGGCGATGGCCTCGGACAGACGAAAACGCAAAGATGACGGACTGCTACTTTGAAAAGAGAGACTGGAGAGCCTGCACCGCCGAGGTGAGTGCTTACGCCGCCTGCTCTGTTTTCCCATTCATCGATGGGCTAACAAACAAACACGGGGGGCAGATGGAGCGGTTCAAGGAGTGCTGGCAGAAGAATGGCAACGAAGAGCGCACTTCTAGCAAGGGGGCATGAGGAGGAGTCTTGAAGCCCCGACCAGCATCGTCATGTACTAAGGTAGTACTCAATCAGTTTGATGGCATTGGCTCTGTAGGCGCTTTGCAGAGTACCATGCAGTGAGTGCACCAGTGGAGATTTCACTCAGCGGCTCCGGGTACCTGTAAACGCCTGCTGTTAGCACCATCCAAGCTCGCAGCTACCAATTAATAGCCTCGAATCCGATTTTTTTGCCTCTTCCCGACAACGCCACCCCCCAGCCTCGAATATCTCCGCCCGCCGCCTTTCCGAGCTTCACGACACGTGCCCTTCGTCGCTATACCCTCCGCCACTCCCGTTCGTGAGCCATGTTAGCCTCCCGTCGCGGTGTCGTCGCGGCGACGCGGAGTCTGGCGCTCTGCCGCAGCTCCGGCGCCCCGTGGGCTCGCCACTCTTCCACCGAGGCGACTGCATCCTCGACATCGCCAGCTGCTGCCGACGCACCTCCGCCGGCAACCCCTCCAGCTGCCACCAAAGCAACCCCCCCTGCGGCGCCAACGCGAGCCCCCGATCATATGGCGAAGCCCGCGGCAACAACGAGGACACTGCCACCAAGGGTGCCGCCGAGTGCTCCGAGGGCCAAATTTACGTCGGCGGCCTCCAACGTAAGCAGCAGCCTGGCGGCTGCCAACGGCAAGACGAATTCCGTGCCAGCGTCGGACCCCCCGCGATACGAACTCAGCAAGGTGGTGCACCGGGTCAAGCTGCCTGCCGCCGCCGACTCCAGAGAGGTCGCGCCGCCCGACGTGGACTGGATCGAGAGCTTCCACGGCGTCTCGACCAAGCCCGTGACTGAGGAGCAGTTCCAGGTGCTTATGCAACCGTTGTCGGAACACGACATCGAGGTCAAGCCCGACGGCATAATCTATCTACCAGAGATCAAGTACAGGAGGAGGCTGAACGAGGCCTTTGGGCCCATGGGATGGGGCCTCATCCCAAAGTCAGAGCCCGTCGTCGGCGAGAGCATAGTGACGCGTGAATATGCCCTGATTGTGGATGGCCGGTATGATTCTGCTCTTCCAGCCCTGCATGTTGACGGCCTGGGCTGACTCCATCTGGCAGCTTCGTTTCGCAAGCCCAAGGCGAAAACGGCTTCTTCGGCCGTGACCAGCTCCCCTCGGCCATTGAGGGCTGCAAGTCCAACGCCCTGATGCGCTGCTGCAAAGACTTGGGCATTGGCTCGGAGCTGTGGGATCCCCACTTCATCCGCTGGTTCAAGAAGACGCGCATGGAAGAGGCGTGGGTGGAACACGCAACAACCAAGAAGCGGCGCACGCTTTGGTTCCGAAAGGGCGCCGTCGAGGTCACCTACCCCTACAAGCTGACCAAGTGAGAACTCCAGCAAGAATGCACGCCACGGCATGACACGAGACGAAGCGGGCATCGTTGCAAAAATCACTGGCGACTTTACGGAGCATAAGAGTGCGCGCGTGCGGCGGGTTGGGGATCCGCCGTTGTACATTACTGCCCAGATGGGACGGGCGGGCTATGGAGATGTGGACATTGACTGCATCGGGTCGGCTTCTGGCGTACGATTGCCCTGACAATGAAACCACTGTATGCAAACCTACTACATGTCTCGCTGAGCCACCGGGGGGACTTGGCCGAATCAAAAATTCATCAAGCCCGGCAGGCTTGCCATCAGACCACTCCGTGAGGAGGCACCAGCGGACGTCCCGCGAACAGGCTGCCGCGGTAGACCCATCGGCCATATCTAAAATCAGGCGCCGAATACTCCACCCTGAACAGCTCTCTCGAGGACTTCTATCCCTCCCGCGAGGTGCCTTTGGGGGTGCCGGCTCCGCTGGCCCATCCCCAGGATAACCAGGGCCCGCCACCAGTCCCCGAGGCATGCCGACGCCGAAGGGAGCCGTCGCCCTCATCCTCGCCCTCGGCGCCGCTCTCGGCCTCGACTTTTTCAAAGTCGGTTTCGCTACGGCTCTTGCTCAGTCCACTCGACCGTCGGCGGCTCGACGCGTCATTGTCTTGATGGCCCTGGGCGAAGGCGCCGGGGGGAGCGTCGCCGGCGTCGCGCTGGATCTCCTGGGCTTCGCGGTCGAGGGCCGAGAGCACGATGCTCAGGCGCTCGCGCTGGGCGGCGATGAAGTTCATCTTCTCGGCCGAGTCGCGCAGATTAGGCGGGATCAGCGTGCCCGAGTCGGGCGCGGCTCTGCTGCCGCTGGCGCCGCCGGTCGCGCCCGTGGCGGCGGAGACGGCGTTGGCGAGCAAGTTGTAAAAGTCGCTCCCGGTGTGGGCGGCGCCGGTCCATCTCGCCGTCGGCACACTAAACCGGGCGAGAAGCGACTGGGTGTAGCCCTGCTGGCCGGCGGGCGCGGGCGCGGGCGGCTCCTCCTCCTCGGAGGGGGGAAGGCCGAGGACGTTTATCTTCAAGTACTCGATGGCTCGTCGCAAGTATGTCATGCCGGCAACCTTGAGGCGATCGTGAGTGCTCGCGATCAAGTTGTCGATAGTGCCCTCATTCTCCTCAAGGAAGGGGTGGATCCGCTCCTCGTAGATGACGCGCGCGCCCTGCGTCTGGGGCAAAATCAGGTAGAGGAAGAAGAAGAAGCGGATGTAGCCGTAGAAGGGGACCCTGCGGCGCGCTATCGTCAGTACAAGTGGTCATGGCGTCTTCGGATCGTGGACTGGAGACGCACCAGGCGAGGATGAAAGACACCCAGGACTCAACGAGGAGGCAGCAGTTGAAGACGACCCAGTACATGAGCCATGGCGTCAGCTGGGCGGGATCCGACGTCTTGAGAGCCTTGTACGAGGCGAAGATGGGAAAAAGAAAGGAGGTGACGGAGCTGTTGCGGGCGTCGAGGTTAGCAAACGGGTCTTCGATCAAGGCAAGGCGGCGCGCGTGGGGTGACGACATTGGCGGGGCAGTGCAACGAAACGTACGAGAGGAGCGTAGCAAAGAGGTCGAACATGGCGACGGCGGCGGTTGAGGCCGTGCCTCGCAGTCAGAAAGGGCGGCGGGAGGGATATGGGATTTCGAGGCGCGCAGGAGCGTCAACGATGGCGGGAGAGGGAAAGAGGGCGAAGGCGTGAAGGTGAAGACGCCGGAGATGGCGGGCAGGGCAGGGCCTAAATGGCGGGGCCCCGCGACCGGGCAGCTGATGCGCTTAGGCGCCATAACTCCCCACGTTACAGTGGCCCAACACTCTGGAATGGACGGGAATGGACGCGCCGGCCCCCGTGACCAATTGCTTAGGTGTCTGGTGACGGCCAGCTCTTCATGCGCCACTCCTTTTTCCCGCCTGCTCGCACTTTTCGCCCGGAGAAGCAGATGATTTTTGTTGCGGGCCAACATCGTCGACGATCGCTGTCGACGGTGGTCCGGCTGAGCTGCAGACGACCCTGCATTATTTATTAATACGGCTGATCCCCTCGAACCCTTGATGCCTACCGCCCAACGCCGCCTGACTTTCTCGCTGCTTCACCTCCTGCTCCCGACACGCCCTGATGATTGATTGCTCGCGTCGCTCGCTGGCCGCCTTGGCCGGCATCATCGGGTCCGGCATGCATGTATGTACTTGGTATAGGACCTGCTGATTCTCCCCACGTCTGCAGCTCGGATGAGCCCGTGTCCGCGTCGAGATGCGCGCGCCTCATGCCTCCCAACGCGTCGAGCCTCGCCAACTAGCCGTTGGGCTTTATTGGCCTGTTGGCAGAAAGATAGCCGTCCCGGGATGGCGGGCGCCTGCTTTGGCGCCGAGTTTAAAGACTCTTGGCTTGTTCCGTCGACTCCGACCAAGCTTCACCAACTGCCAAGGTTCACAACCGGCTAGGCTCACCAATCGACTGCCAAAGGCAATTTGAGCGCAGCAATCGTATCGTGTCGTCTCTTGCCTTTCGCTTTTTCCTAATCGAGAGTGCCTGACGGTCGGGCCGCATTCGGTTGCTCGCTGCCGTGCTCCCAGGGCAAACGCGGCGTCAGGCTCAGCCATGCTTGCCCTCCACTCCAGTCCATTTCATCGCTTGTCCTCACAGTTGGACGACGCGCGAGGCAGGCAAAGCAAGGCCATGTGCTTGATTCGAGGGATTCAAGCCATGACTTGGACACCAACGTGGTCCCTTTTCTTACAATCATGGCTCCCCCCCTGGATGCAATTGCTCCTTTCATTCCCGCTGAAGCCCTGCATGTGCAAACAAAAGACTACGCCGTCATGATCCTCCAATATTGGCAGAATAACCTCGTATCACCTCATGCCGGCGCCTGGCTCATTTGGGTCGAGACAAAGCCCGCCAGCAGCGGCAAATGCGTCCATGCGGCCCAGAAGCCGCCAAAGATGGCCGCCCAGGACAGAATCCCTCGCGCGACCAACACCTGCTTGACGTTCTGCACGGTCACCGCATCATTGACCCAAGGGAATGGCTCGTCCTTGGGCGCCTCTTTGCCGAGGAAATCACACAGTGGCTCCCAGCCGTCTTCCGCCCGCCACACCAAGACCTCGCGGTTGCGCTTTCGGGCCTCCCGCAGCACAAACTCCTGGTAGGCGTCGTAAAACTCGGGGCCGACACCGACGCCGAACTTTTGATCCCAGGTCCGGGTTGCCACCCGGTGCATTGTCCAATGAAGACGATCGGATCTGAAGGGGAAGCAGATCAGGTAAAACGTCCAGCTCCTGAAGAAGCCGATGTTATCCTCGAAGCTCCTGAACCACGCGTTCCCGCCGCCCTTGCGCTGGTTGAGGACGATGGGCGCATCTGGATACATGTCCATGAGGTCATCGATGAACCAGAAGCCGGGAAAGTCTGTCGTGGCCTCATAACCGTCAAAGACCCGGTGGAGGAGCTTGCGCCGCCTTTGCGTGTCTTCCTCCTGCATGGCGTCGATGATAATTTGGGAACGCCAGCTGTGAGGAACGACGTGCTCCATGTGCATGCAGGGAAAGTAGCCCATGCTGGGCGTCTCCAGCGCTGCTTGCAGGGACGAAGTTGCGCATCGCGAAAGCCCGGCGCCGATGACACGAATGCGAGGGCCAAGGGCACTCCGGTCGGCGCCGGGTTGAGCAGTGACGAACCGCATGATGCTCAGAAACTCGCTCTGAGACTTAATGATTTGGTGGGTGCACCTGTGGGCCGAAGAAAAAGAAGGAGAGCAAGCAAAGAGACGAAGAGAAGCCAGTGACAGAGGGTCAGACCTCGCGTTATTCATACGTTGGGTCACGCATCAAGCCAAGAAAATACGGCTTCTGAAAGCTGCGGCGCCGCTGCCTGGACCCCTTCAGATTGTCCAGGCATGAGCTCGTTCCACCATCTCCTTTGGCAGGAACCGACTGCGCCGGACCACCCTTGCCCGGGCTCGCAAACAACAGCCTCGCGCTTGGTATTTTCTGCATGGAGCTCATTGTGCGGCTCGAGGTGGAGACAACAACACGCTTGATTCTCCAGGAAATGATGGTTGGGCAGACTCGCAGTACATGAGCGAAAGCTGTGGCCTGGTCTCGAGACGAGCGTCCGCAGAGCATGCATAATACCTCGAATTGTTTGCCTACTGGAAATAGAGGAACTGCGTCTTGAGATCTCAAGTGGGCCAAGGCAACGGGGAGCTTGGATACTTCCTTTCTGAGGCAGCTCTAGGCAGTGCCTAGGAGCAACAGACGGTTGGTAGAAAGATATCTGACCAACGAGACATGTAATGCCAGGTGATGCAGTAGTACAGATCTGCATCCCCAGACCAGTTTCGTCCCAAAATTGGCGTATGGCACAGCCAATTAACAGTCCAGGCTCAGCTAGGACCAAGAACGGAGCTTGCGCTGACGGATACACAAGGCTTTTCGAAGCCTATACGTTGCTGGGAGTCACGTCGTGCAACTTACCCAAGGACTCTGATGCAGCAGCCCCGCCTGAGCCTCAGTCAACTCAGCCCTTCTCCATGTCGAGGCGTACGGCATAACCGCTCAATCGGGAGATGACTCGCGGGATTGTACACTCAACTGATATGACGTTGCTCAGGGGGCTTACCAACGGCATGTCATACTGCAGGTCAACGTTGTTAGTGACGCCTGGACCGCCCTTTTGCACACAGCAAACGACAAATTGGGTTGTTGTATACAGTATATATAGGTACTGAAAGCCCCTTGCAGTTGACCCCTTGGTGGCAGCCTGTTGGCGGCAGTGTGTTTCCTCGAGGGGGATCCCCCGGAACTGCCCCACCAAGATGTTACAGGTCTACAGCCCACTCGAGATCTCTGGCCACAGCTTGTCCCCGACTTACCTCTGAATCAGCACCTCAGATGCAGACCGATGCAGAGGACCTTGTCAACGGCATGGCATTCTGCCACGCAATCTACGGCTCGCGTTATCGGACGCAGATCCGGCAGTTGTCCTACCGACATCGGAGCATCGATGCCACCGTACCCGGTTGAACTCAGGCTTTGCTCTTGGTTCTTGGCTTTCTAAGTGCCGACATGGTAGGGCGAGGTCCATGACCGCGGTTGAGACGGGTTTAATTGATGAATATGTTACCGAGAACCTTCCAAGGAGAAATAGACATGAACAAGCGTTAATACATTCATGCCCCGGGATCATTTCTGACCCAGACAACGGTCAACGCGAGGACTGTGTGTAGCAACTCAGCCGGGTACCTGAAGGGCGGGTTTGTTCTGGGACACTCGTGTCTGCCACTCCGCTTTGGCAAATGCATTTAGCGAAATTCTCTGGGTCATTGAAGATATATCTCTCGTCTCCATCTTCAGCTCGCTTCCGGCTAGGCATATAACGCAAACCCGTGGTCCTATCAATCAGCAGTCGGCAGAGCTTCAATAGCCATGGTTGTGGGACAGCCCGGCTGCCGGTTTTATAGAACATTTACGTATGTCCACCATCATCCAATCTCTCACCCTCCATGCAATTCTGACGCCTTGAAGCCGACCTCTTAGGTCTCGAGAGGTTGTAAACTTCGAGGACTTGGCGGTGACACCCACGTCTGAAATGCAGCCTCCACTAACTATACAGGTTAGCATACTTGGTAGAGAAACCTTGAAAGGATGCAAATCGATGTAATTGCTATAAAGCCATATGTGGCGGTAATTGCTCTGCGAACATGCAGCTATTGACCAAGTCTATGTGTATCTTATCGTGTCTTCACGCAACGTTGACATACCAACATCACCAAGGTTAACAATAGCTTCATTCCATCCCTATCAAGCATTGTCAAGACACCTCATTTTTCTGCCGCTTTTTCAACAGCCTCCATTGTCTCCATGGCAGCTGTGACAGCCTTTTTCGTGGCCTCGTCGGACTCATTCTGAGCCACATCAAGCAGCCGCTTCTTCCAAGACGACCAATCCTCTCTAGAACGATCCGAATACTTGGTGGCGCCAGATGGAGCAGCTGGTGGTGGCCGATTCTGTATGTCGATACTTTGCAGATCGAGATAGACACTGTGCCCGGTCCGTTCCATCCATGCAGCCACAGCTGAGATATAGAAGCTGAGTATCCATTGACGCATTGCCGAGCGGTCGCTCCAGTTGTCAGAGTCACCTTTCGGCTCTGATTCTGCCCACAATGCCCGGGTCATGTACTCAAAGGCCTTACGGCGCTGCAGAATTCCAGCTGCCACGAGCCGAGCGGTCGAGTCTTGTTGCGTTACGTAGGCTTCCTTTGCACGAGCTTTGTCCTCGTCGGTGGAACACTTTTCGACGATATCTCGCGGCTCCTCCCAGTATTTGTCAAACCAAACCATGGAAAAGTAGGGGAGTCGATTCCAGGTCAACGATTCCTTGCCGTCGTCATCCAAGGCTTCCCCGCGGTGGATGCTATCTGGGATCTCGGAAATAGCCTTGAGAAGCTCGACAAGGTCGGCAAAGCGGTCTGATGGCCAGTCTGCGAGGGCGTCGGTGAACACTCTCCATAGCTGGCAGAGGCCGACTATTTCGTCGGAGTAGCCCCCGAGGGCTGGGGCGGGAGAGTTTGAGATGGGACGCGTGATTGCCGAGGCTGCATCGCCGGTGCTCGTCTTTCCTTGATAATACGCCTCGAGAACGGCGATTTCCTCTTTCAAACAAGACAGGAGAATTTCGTTGTTTCCGCCGTGACGATCGAACTGCTCGCTGAACCAGCCATCCGAGATGGGGTTTGCGCTCTCGACAGATGTCGATGCGGCTGCCATTTTGTAGTGGTGCCGATTGTTGACGTGCGTATTTGGTTGGGAGTGCCTCGATTGCCTCCAGGTTATTAAAGGACCCCGAGAGAGTTGGGAATGGAAAGGGCATCTGCAGGTACTCGGCAATTCGTGGCGTATGACGTAGCTAGAAAACGTCAGGTTGTGCAGGCTTACTGGAGTACGGACTGATTCAAAGAACCGAGAGTCAACGGTCAAGACGCCGGCCGTCTACTTACGGAGGTACTGTACGTTGTAGAGGGAAACATGCAAGCAAACGACGCTGACAGCTAGATGTAAGTTATGTGTTGTTGGTTCTCGCAACAGTACGTCATCAATGACACAATGAACTGCACAAGGATGCTTCCGTTTCAGAACGCAGTGCAGTAGCAGCGTCGGCCGAGTGCGATATTGGGCAATAGCCGAGCTGCAGTGGTTCGGCCGGGCCGGTAGGTAGGATCCGCCGAGGCTGTTGGTCCTGCTTGGATCGCCAGTTGGGTTCCTTGAATCGCCAGTTGATACTACATGGCCTCGCCAATTGCTTCTCAACTTGTGCTGCTGCGTCCGTGTCCCAACGCAGCCCACCATGGCGTTCTGAAGGATGGGAGTCAGCTCATGTTCGATTACCCTGTGCTGAGAGGTGGGAACCTGGCGATGGGCTGCGCTGCGGATGGCCGATGGATTCTCCTCGGACACCGGTGCTCGTCTCCCCGTCAAAGACGGATTGCAGACTCACAAACCAAATATAAGTACGTGGTGCGGCCGCTCACAACTAGACTGCGAGACAAAGCCACAGCTCGAGTCCCAGTTGACATTGGACGTTGTGCAAAGAGAAAAGACGAAACAATCAGTCAACCATGAAGTTCACGACCGTACTATGTGCCTTGCCGCTCGCTTTGGCGACACCGGCTCCTCTTTTCCTGAGACAGATATCGCAGAACCCTGTCGACGTCAAAAACCTGGATGATTTCGACAAAAAATGCGGTAAGCTGACCAAAACAGCGGTTTTCGGAAACCCGCTCATTACAAGTCCAGGGAAAATCAATGTTAAATACAACGACATCGTCACTGCTGTTCGTACCGGCGTCAATGCCAGGCGTGCGGGAGAGACCTTGGGTCGTAAGTCCTGAGCCTTTGACGAGGCCGTCTGTGCCTGCCCAAGGACATACATAATGCCCTGGCTAACACCCCGCCATAGCACAATCATACCCTCATCCGTACAGAAACCACGAAGACTTCGATTTCAAGAACGGGGACTGCAAGGCAGATCCCAATGGCTTTCGGGTCGAGTTTCCGGTGGCGAAAAACGACGCCTACGACGGCACAAACGACCAGTCGGGCAAGATTCGCGCCATCTATCTCTACGACCCGAACCAAAACGTCCCCAGTGGCTCGAAACCTGTTGCTGAGTACTGTGGCTTGATCTACCATGTCAAGGATGGGTTTGCTGGCTGCGATGTTCGCAAATCCTAGGATCAAGGCATCCAGACGCGTGGGACGATTCGTCCTCGGTAGTCAGAAGCGGTTGCCACGAGAGAAACAAGGAGTCGCTACTGATTATTACTGCACTGTCGAGACTTCTCTGTAACTAGCCTACAAGGAATCGAAATAGATTTTAGCAAGCTCGATGTTTGCATATAAGTACGCTTGTGAGGATGTAGGAGGCATGGCAGTTCATGGCCACTTTTGCGCTCGTCAATGAGCTCTGAAATGTGACAGTTTCTCGAATCAAGTCATTAGTCTGTAGCATCATATAAAGCTGTCGCCAAGAGGTGATGCTGGCTGTGTCAACCTCGGCATTCTTCTGGAATCCAAGCTACCCTATTTACGACAAAAGTGTAGGTTCACCGCAAATGTGCTTCCATTTTTAGAGGAAGTGCTTCCACTTCTAGAGGATAGGCTGCCCTTTTCGGAGGACATTTTGCGAAGCGCCGGTGGCGGGGCGTGCGCTATTCGTCTCTACCCCTCCGCTATAGCTTTCGAGGTGCCTCACTATCCCCGGCCCCCACCGACCCCCTAATTAAACCGTAGTATATTAATTTTAATAGCGTTAGAATATATTAATTAATAGGTAATATAGTATTCGGCCACGAACCTTTACTCTATTCTCTAGAAGCTCTAAGATATATAAGAGTAAAATATAGCGGTATTAAAAAGCTTACCGCGAGCTTAGTACTCGCTAGCCTACTACCGGTCGAAGCGCGAGCGACTCTAAAAATATAGGGCTATTAAAAAGCGGCACGCTAAGATAATAAAGGTTAATATATATAGAGTAAAATAAAAATAGATAAGGTAAGCGACCTTTTTATTATATTTAAGTAATAAGCTAATAAGACTAAATACTATATATACCTATTAGTCGATCTACTTAGTTATCTTATAGAATCGATAAAGGAAGATATTATAATATTTTTAGAGTAGATACTTAACTTATATCGAAGGATTTATAAGAGAAGTACTATATATACCTATAAAAGAATTCTTTTTTAAGTATACTAAAAGTTTATAAGAGTTAATTTTAGTAAGTAAGCGAATAAAGAGATTAATAATATAAGTTTTATCTTAATCGTAGAAGTTTATATCTTATATAATTAGCTTACTACTTAATAGTATATTAATAAGTATCTAACTATTTATTATAAGCTTAATATATTAGTAAATAAGAAGCTTATTATGGATATTAATAATATATATCTTATATAGTACTATTATTAGGTCTATAATACTTTAGTTTTCCTTAATAAGCGCTAACGTATATAGTTAGCTTTCTTAATTTTACTTTAAGTATATATATGTCTGATCATTTGTACGATAGAGCGCACATCGCAGAAGGATATCACGTGCGTCATCAGGGAACAACGATTACCCGCACACACACACACAACCTATCAAACCTCACCGCATGGTCTAGATAGAAAAAGAATAACAAGAACAACATGATCACCGATCAAAGACCCAACTGAGCCTCAGTTAGCCTATCCACACTGATCAGTTGTTACCTGGCTGGTAACCTCAGAGCAGCAAGATAGAAGAGAGTCTTTTCTAAGCATCATCTGCATCAGATTGCCCTGCGAAGTTAAGATTGCTAGAACGCGAGACTGACTACGAAGACCCGACCGGCGCCCACTCTATTCAGTCAACCGTGCCTAGTTGTTTGCCTCAGCCGCTGACCTCTTAGGCGTGCCCTATCGCACATACAAATCTCTGGTATCCCGCTTGATTATCAGCTTCATTGATCACTCTCGATCAATTTGACCTCTCTTGACACCTTCTTGCCCTATTCCTCGCAGATTTTCCTGTCAAGCCCCATCCGACATCATGAGCAGCAGCGCAAGCGGCACCAGCGCGAACGCGAACGCACCGACGCTCGACATCAACGAATTCCTCGATATTGCTGAATTCAACCGTGGCCTCGCCACAATCTTCAACATGGACCTCTTCAACACCCCAGTCAACGAGACTTCCGATGAGATCCACTATAATACCTTCGTTCTCGCCCGCATCGTTGATTATAAAGTCTCCTCAACATGTCAAGGTCTCGAGCTGCTTGGATCATTCCAAGAAGACTTTGAGGATTGGGAGGAAGACGACTTCAAGAAGGTCGATCCAAGGGTCCGTAAGGTCCTACGGAATACCCTAAGGTTCAGAGGAATCTATACAGGAAAGCTGAACGCAAAGATCACGGCATTCCTAGTAAATCTGAAGAACCGTGACCGACTTCCTGAGTGGGATGAAGACGATCTTCGTGATGCCATCTTATACGAGAAAACGGCCGCCTACCGACGCCAACAAGAACTCCTCAGACGATCGCCATCGCTAGCAACAACCCCAGCACCAACCCCAGCACCAACCCCAGCACCAGTCACTCCCGATCTAAACCTCCCGCAAGACCCCCCCAATGACCAATCCCTACCCTGTCACGATCGAATCAACAGCAGCAGGAACTTATGATCAGACCAGCTATCGACCGCGAAGCTTACCGGACCGTGCCCCCAGTCCAGGTCCCCAATGAAGACCTCGATCCTGCCATCGCCAACCAGTTTTCTAAGCTATGGGATCGAAAGCTCAACTATTCAGGTGACGCCTACGATATCCTAGATGATAAGATCCGTTACTTTCTCGATGCCTGCCTCACAGCTAGCATCAAACCGTCACAATTCCACGCTTTGCTCTCAAATATCCTCACGAAGAGAGCAAAGAACTTCTTCGTGCATCAAGTCAGCCGCGATTCAACGTTCGCGGAGATGTATCAGAAGATGAAGCAGCACTTTGATACGGAAGTCAATAGGCAACAGTATCACACTGACTGGACCTCGATCAATTTCACACAGCTTCGGAAGGAATCTCCCGAGAAGCCTCTCTGTGAAATCCTCCAGGCTCTTCTTGACAAATTGCAGCTATGCCAGAGAGCTCTTGGGAATAGCTATGGCGGCGAAGACCAGCTAATTTCAACGACAATTCGAGCATGCCGTGGCGTGCCTGAATTAGAATTCGCCCTCTTCGTGCCGGCTAAGACCTTCGAGGGACTATCTTCACAGCTAAGATCGTCACTCACAACCGTCAGCCAAAGACAGCCCGGACAGCCCAGTCAATATCTTCAAGATCAAGACCAATTCTTTACTGACCGCCGCTATCAGCACCCCGCTGACAAAAGGAAGAAGTGGACGAAGCGCTGCTACGTCTGCGGCAAAGAAGGCTGTTTTTCAACGAAGCATCCGGATGACGAGAGAAAGAGGGCCAAGGAAAGATATCTTCGAGAACGAGGATTTCACGGCCAGAAGTCATCTTCCCGTCCATTTACTACGTTCCTTGCCGATTACGAAGGGGACCCAGATGAAGATCAGACCTCTGATTCTGCTGACGATGACTCTGACGATCAAAGCGATAGCTTCTTTGCAGCTGCCTTCCTATCTAATAGAGCTTTTCGCCACCGCATTCACACCGTCGAGGGAGAATCGATATGCGAGGAATCACAGCATTTCTTGCTCGATCGCTACAACCGGACCTCTTTCCAAGGGATCCTGCCTGACACGGGTGCAGCGAAGATATCTACAGCTGGGATCGACCAATTCCGCGCGCTCCAACGAGAGATGCCGACGGTCCAGCTACGGAAGAATGCGACGATCGCAACGGTCAGATTCGGTGGAAACGAGCCGACGAACACGATCGGGATCACAACAGTCATCACCCCGATTGGAGAAGTCGTTTTCCACGTTATCAATATGTCAACGCCCTTCTTGCTATGCCTCAAGGATATGGACCGTCTCGGTGCCTATCTCAACAACGTCACGAACGAATTGATCTGCGGCGATAAGAGGATTCCGATCGTACGCAAATGGGGTCATCCGTGGTTCTTCCTACGGAAGGATGAAGCCGCTATTGCCTTCCTATCCGAAGCCGAGCTTCGGCGCCTACACACTCGCTTTGGCCACCCGTCAGTACACAAGCTACATAAGCTACTGACAAGCGCTGGGCATGATGTTGAATTCGAAGCAATCGCGATGATCCGAAAATTCTGTCATTTTGCCAGATCAAGGCAGACGCACCGCGCAGGTTCAAATTCACGTTAAAGGATAACTGCGATTTCAACTACGAATTGATCGTCGATGTAATGCATCTTGACAGCCGGCCAGTCCTTCATGCCGTTGACCTAGCAACCTCTTTCCAAGCCGGACGATTTCTTCAGAATATATCGGCTAAAGAGACGTGGGAAGCACTCAAATTGTGTTGGATTGACACATACCTAGGCCCTCCAGATGTTATCACGCACGACGCTGGTACGAATTTTGCCTCCTCTGAGTTCCAAGCAGAAGCGAAGCTGCTAGAATAACCTGTCACCAAGTGCCCGTCGAAGCCCACTGGTCAATTGGCAAGGTGGAGAGATATCACGCCCCGATTCGAAGGGCATACGAGATCTTGAAAGCCGAGCTAAAACAGCATCAGCTGAGTCGTTGCTTCAAATGGCCTTCAAATCCGTCAATGATACCGCCGGACCTGACGGTCTAGTGCCCACACTACTAGTCTTTGGTGCCTACCCTCGGATAACGATGGATTCGCCGCCTTCTGCTTCCGCGATCACACGTGCGAAAGCCGTGACGAAAGCTATGGCAGAGCTACGCAAGCTTGTAGCTAAAAGGAAGGTCAATGACGCCCTCAATGCCCGTAATGGGCCCAACTCGATTGAGAAGATGCCACTATCATTGCCGCTTGGTAGTGAAGTTCGAGTATTTCGTGAGAAAGGAGGATGGAAAGGCCCATACAAGGTCCTAGCTGTGACAGACACAGAAGTCACAGTTGAGCTAGACAACGGGCCAGCTAAATTTCGCAGCACGGCTGTCCAGCCCTACTTTCGCCACCCGGATTCGCAGCAGCAACGAAGTCACGATGTTCTACAGCAGCCACACGCTGACAATCAGACTGCTGACAATCAGGCTGATAGCATCAACGTTGAGACCGAAGTGCCTAAGCCATTCGAATATCCCGAGCCGGAAAGACCACGCAGACGCGGCAGACCAAGAAAAGTCCTCGAGATCAGCAGCAATACGATACCTTCGTTCCTTCTAGTTATTTCCTTAGTCTTAGCCCTTTTCGTTACCTCGATCTCAATTTTCACCCGCTAATATGTTTCTATCGCATAAGGAGTGCGCCGCCCTCGACCTTGCCGTAAAGTTACGTGCAGAGAAGAAAATCACTACCGCCGGACGACCGTTTGAAGCCTCTGATGACCTCGAAATCACGAACCTGCTAGGCGCAGGCGTCATCGTGCCCGAACGATACGATATGAATAAGCATGGAAAACACAGGCTATTCAAGTCACGAATGGTCCGGGAGGTCAAAGGCAAGAACACTGCTACACCGTACGAGAAGTCTCGTCTTGTGGTACAAGGATATGGTGACGACGAGAAGCGTGAGATCCTCACGCAGGCTCCAACAATCTCCCGTCCTGCCCAGCGGGTAGTACTCGCTCTTTCCCCTTCCTTTGCTCTTTGAAGATGTCTCTTGCTATCCGAGACATTACGATGGCCTATACGCAGGCATCGACCACTTTGAATCGCACTATCCTCATCTCTTTGCCACACGAATTAAAAGAGAGATACCCAGGGGGAACCATCCTTCGTGTGGTCAAGCCATTGTACGGAATCGCTGAAGCAGGCGCTCATTGGTTCAATACGTATCATGAGCATCACCGCATCAAGCTACAGATGGAGCCGTCAACGTTTGATCCATGTTTAATGATAACGACCGCAGAGATCAACGTCACGACCGCAGAGACCAACGCGGATACCGCACTTCAGGTTAATGCCTTCGGCGTTGCCGCGCTTCAGACTGATGATACGTTATTGGTAGGCACAACAACATTCCTGCAACGTGAAGACCGCGAGCTATGCTTCCAAGCCAAGCCAAAGAAGACCCTACGAGAAGGCGATACCTGTGATTTCAACGGCAGCCTCATTGCTCTAGAGAAGGGCTATCTTCTAGTCATGCAGAAAGGTCAGGTCAACAACCTCAAAATTATCGATCTATCCACGGAAGATCGGGCCCAACGATACGTGGAACAACGTGCCCGTGGCGCCTATATAGCCTCAATTTGTCAACCAGAGGCTAGCTTCGATTATTCAATCGCGGCACAATCACAAGATCCAACCGCGGAGGATTTTCAGGCGTTGAATAAACGGATCCAATGGCAGATCGACAATCCACAAAGAGGCCTTCGATTTGTCCCAATAGGTCTAGAAGCAGCAAAGGTCTTCGTCTTCACAGACGGATCATTCGCCAACAACAAGGACTTAAGCTCTCAGATCGGATTCGTTATAATCATTGCAACCGAGACTAAGTCAGATGAGTCATTCACGATCCACGGAAACCTGATCCATTGGAGCTCGACGAAGTGCAAGAGAGTCACCCGCAGCGTCTTGGCTTCTGAGATATATGGATTAGCTTCAGGCTTCGATTTGGCATATGTGATCACAGAGACGATCAACCAGATCACAAACCGCCTTGGATTGCCGCAAATCCCGCTCGTGGTGTGTACGGATTCGTATAGCCTATACGAGTGCCTCGTGAAGCTTGGCACTACGACGGAGAAACGCCTGATGATCGATATCATGGCGTTGAGGCAAGCGTACGAACAGAGAGACATCACAAGCATCCGTTGGATCAATGGTGCGGACAACCCGGCTGATGCAATGACGAAGCTATCTCCGAACGGAGCCTTGACCCGATTCGTCAACGACAACGAGATCACGATCCGGCTTGAAGGTTGGGTTCAAAGGAAGGAAGATATGACGATTGAAGAGGCGATTAACGATTGACGATTTCCCTTGGTTATTTTTTTCCCCCCTATTATCTGATGCGTTTGCTTCGACTTTAAAAGAGCTGCCAGTGTCTGATCATTTGTACGATAGAGCGCACATCGCAGAAGGATATCACGTGCGTCATCAGGGAACAACGATTACCCGCACACACACACACAACCTATCAAACCTCACCGCATGGTCTAGATAGAAAAAGAATAACAAGAACAACATGATCACCGATCAAAGACCCAACTGAGCCTCAGTTAGCCTATCCACAATATAGCTATATATCTTAGAGTTCTCGCGAAGAGAGATATAAGAAGTATATAAAAATACACGATAGTAAAATTAAAAGTAAGGGGTCGGATAGGTAAGGTAGAGAGATTTAATTCTTATAGGAGTAGTAATAAAGGTAAGGGAGTAATTATTATATTTCCTTAATTCTCCTTCTTTCCTCTATCTAACACCCCTCTTTATACCTATCTAGTATCTTAATTAATAAAGAAGATCCTACTTAAAGAAGCTATTAATATCCTTTCGACTACTAAGCTTTTTACCGGTTTTTCCCCTCTTTTCTAGCCGTTACCGGTATATCTATCTTATCTTTCGCTACCTCTATAAGAAGCTATCACTACTTTTACTTCCCTTCTTACCCCTACCCTCCTCTCTATACCTCTTTTTAGCTCCTTTCTTAAAACCTATTTTTTAGCTTCCTAGGTCCCTTATACTAAGGGATATCTCCGAGAACTATAAAATTAGGCCACGCTTTACGATATACCCCCTTAGCTATAGCCTATCCTTATAGAAAGGGTAAAGCTAAATACCTAGGCCGGTAAGCGTATAAAGGAGGTCTTAGTCTATACTTATCCCCTACTTAAGAAATCCGGGTTTTAGCCCTAGGCTCTTTTAGACCTACTTTAGGAAAAGGGGCCTTAAGGAGGAAATTAAGTCCTATAAGAAAGGGGGGCTTCTCTAAGGATAAGTTCTTAAAAAGGGGGCCTTTAAGAAGAATAAGTCCTAATTAAGCTAGGGGCCCTCCTTTAGGATAAGTCTAAATTCCTCTCTTTAGCTATAGACGTCTCCTTCCTCCTACGTACTATTAGCTTATAAGAGCGCTACTAGGAGGTACGGGCTAATAAAGCACTCGGGTATATAGTACTAATATATCGGTAGGGTATTAGTAGGGAATCGTGCCTACCCCGCTTATATATTATAGACCGCTCGCTACTCTAACTAAAGAGGAGAAATCCCTCTTCTTATAAGCTTTAGTCTTATAACGAGGAGAATATAATATATATAGCTTAGTACCTTATTACGACTACGGTCTAGCGAACCGCGGGGACTAATAAATATTACGAGGTCACGTAACGTAGGGAGCAAGGAATATTAGATAGACCGACGGGCTAATTAAGTTTAGAGCGACGGGTTACTCTAGCGCTCTAACGCTCTACGGCTAGGATCGTAGGATCGCTCTAGCGCTCTAGCGCTCCTAAATGACGGGATTACCTAGCGCCCTCGGCGATCTAGGGAAGCTCTCGAGATATATAAGGAAGGAACGGAACGCTCCTTTAGATAGATAGCTCGATAGCTTTTAATATATTATAATTATTATAATCTCTATTACGATCTTATCTCTAATTCTAATTACTTAATTACCTAGTTATAGTCTACGGTCTACGACCTCTAACTTATTACTAACGTAATATACTTATTATTACTTAGACTACGCCCTATTATATCTATTAATATAAACCCCTTAATAGGTTTATCCTTTAGGAATAACGCTAGTCGTTATACGTTAAAAGCTCTTATTTAGTATAATACTACGTTACTCTAAGCAATATCGTAACTATTAATATGCCTATATAGTAAGCTAGATTAACTAACTCCGGAACTACTATATCGCCTTAAGATATAATGCGCGAGATTATTACCCTTCGATATAAGGTATAGTTACTTAGGAACGGAGGAGGCAACGGATAAGTTAGGGACCTTAGAGAAGTAGTTAAACTAAAATAGCTAGGACTATTCGATAGTACTTATAGTATACTTCGAAACTTTCTTACCTAACTTAAGGCCTACTACCGGTTTTACCCTACTAAACTCTTAGACCTAGTCAAAAAGGTACTCTACGTAGGAAATTATTTATCTAAAACGGCACTCGCTTAGTTTAGACCTATTATAAGGGACTTTCTCGATAACTAACTAGCACGACGAGATAACGAGATAGACGAAGTCTTTACTAGTTTCTAAGGATTCGAAGAAGCTATTATAAAGGTATTTAGAATAACTAACGAGGAACGAGAAGCCGAATAAAAACTTTAAGAACTCTAATAAAGGATCTTAGTATTAAATTATACTACGAAGTTCCGTTAAGTTACCTTAAAGCTTAATTAGGACGATAAACCTCTTATATTACGATTCTACGATAGGCTTAAAGAAGAAGTTAAGGACGAACTCTATAAGGAAAATCGACCTAATAACCTCTTAGACTATATTACTATAGTAATACGAATCGACGATAGATAGTATACGCAACGCTAAGAAAAGAAATAAAGAAGAGGAAACTAAAACCCTTCTTATAGGAATAACTTTAACTAACGCGCTAACTATAAAAAGAAGCGCGAAACTCCTATTACTTACGCCTATATAACTAACCTAGGTAGGATAGATCTAGACGTAATATAGAAAAGTAAAGGAAAGTGTTTTAATTATAGAAAACTTAGATATTACTTTAAAGAATATAGATAACCTTATAAGGAAAAGAAAACCTACTAGGCACTAGCCCTAAAAGGTAAGAAATACCTAAACGCTACTAATAGATAGGAACTAAAGTATAAACTCCTTAGTTAGACTATATACTATAACGACGAATATACGGTATACTTAAGCGAAAAAAACGGTACTAGATAGTTCCTAAAGCTATTAAAGAAAACCCTTATAATAATATAATAAAGGGATCCTAAAATATAGAAATAAGTTAAATTCGTAGAACCGGAATACCCTTATTTTAAAGGAGTCTCCCGAGACTAGATTAGGAAGAACGGCAAATAATTCTAGGAAGATATATAAAATAAAAATCGATAATAACGATAGGTAGTCTATAAACAATATAATAAAGAAGATATAGACATAGCCCTTATACTTACGAAACTCAGATAATAACTTAAAGAAGAATAACGAAGTATCGACGATATAAGCTCTAAAGAATAAGAAATACCTAGAGAAACGGAAGATAAGAACGAACTTATACTACTACCCTTACTACTAAGGGAAAATACTACGATTAGAGAACACGCTCTATACTTTAAAGAATTTAAAGAAATACTTAAAATTAAAACCTAATAAATACCTTAAATTCTTACGGAAAACTAATAAGCTATATTAATTCGATATTAACCGGCACTACGTAGAGGAGACTATACTATAGCTATTACTATAGTCGATACCTTTATAGCTCTATAACGAGAATAGTAACTATAAGGAGAATTTAGAGATAATCTATAAATACTACTTACTTATAAGCACTATAAGTATATTTTATAGATATTATACGTCTACCTAGATTATATAATATACTTCTAGATAAAGGCACGATACGACGCCTTCCTAGTTAGGTTTAAAGGATAAGTACTTTCGAAACCCTACTTAAGTATAGAACTAGACTACTAGAAAATCGATTAACGCTACCTAAACGACTAAGTTATATTATTAGAACCTAATTACGGTACGCTACTTAAATGCCGCGATAATTACGGTTTATTAATAAGATATCTTTTAAAGATATATAAAATCTATAAATACGCTAAAATAAAGGAATAATATAACGCTACTCGCTTTAAGGTATCTAAACCCTTAATCTTTTAAAGACTTACGTAATAAGTTAAATACGATAAAGAAGATTATAACGAATATATATACCTAAACTATAGAGTTTATAAATACGAAAAAGTATAAGTATAGTATAAACGATATAACGGTATACTAAAAGATTATTAGTAATATATACGAAGGCTATAAGCCGTATTTAACTAAGGAAAAATCGATATAGAAATACTATATAAAAAATAAAAAGATATAGAACGAAAACTTAACCTTTAGTACGAAAATAAATAAAATTACGAAGTATAGTACGTAATTAACTATAAAGTAGTATAATATAAACGATATAGCGTTAAGAAATAAGAAATCTTCGATTAGCTATAAGAAATTAGTCTCTTAAGCCCTAATATAATACTATACGACGAAAATATAAAGAAACGATATTAATAATAAATTAAAGAAGAATACCTAAATAAAACGAATAAGGACTAGGTAAAAAACGAGGTACGCTATCTATAAAAGGGCTATAGACTAGCACGATATAATAAGATCTAAGGACCCTATATATAGTAACGGTAAGCTATAGCGACTAAATAGTATTAGATATTTAAATCGCGGGATATTATATACGTATACTTTTAGACTATAGCGCGATAGGCAATTACGTTTTACCTAAAGTCGTTAATTGTTACCGACTTATATAGAGATATAAGATAGATCTATATAAACTTACGAATATTAAAGGAGAGGCCTTTAACTATAATAACGGAATTATTAATATAGAGATTAATTACCTCGATATTAATATCTAGGGCCACGATAAATAAGTTAACTTCGATATTATAGATATTAAAGAATATAACCTTATATTAGGGCTTCTATAGCTATAGGAGAGCAACCTACTAATTAACTAGAAAACTAGCTAGCTACGTTAGAACGAAAACGTAAGTTTCTAGGACTAGTAGATTTAGAAGAAAGTAAAATTTTACGATAATTTAGCTACTAAATAAGATAAAAGGGATAACCGTTTAAGTAAATTATTACGGGCTTTAGCGATATAAATAAAAATAGTAACCGAACCGGCGGATATAATAAAATCGACTAATAAGACCTACGTACTAACTAATACGGCTATATAACCTAGTATCTAATATAAATAGAATAAAGGATATAATATAAAGATTTAAAGAGTT